GGGGGGGATACTTATTCCGCTATCGAAAATACTTGTGGAAATTATTTAACGGCATATATAAGAAAATGCACGTAGATTATAAATAATTTTTCACTTAAATTATTATATATCATTTGAAAAAATATAATAATACAATGAAATATTTGGAGATACGTTTAGAAATATTTTTTTTATAGAAATATATTTCTACAGTAGGTACATTTGCGTAACAAATGCCATCTAACGATCAAGTAAATTGTCTAAACGATTGAAAATAAAAAGGTCTTCAAAAGTTTCAGAAAAGTATATTGATTTTTTTATATTTATAATTTAATTTTAAACGAATTTGTTGCATAATTTATTAATTTAATAATGATTAGTAAAATCTTTGGAATATTTAAACTTCTGAGGACTGACGGTTTCTTTGAACATTTCTTCTATGATTAAAGAAGAAGCGACTTCAAATTACCACAATCATTGTCGGAATTCGTGGAGATAACAGATGATTCACCGATGATCAAATCTAAATATAAGATAGTGTTGATAATGTTGTACATTGAAAATCGAACGTCGGCGTCTTCAGGAAATGCAGCATTAATATGAGCATTGAACGCTTGCTTACTCTCTGTCCATTTCAGGTACGGATGATGGAGGAGCGGCTAGTGAAGGGTGAGTACTGCCTCAGCACATCCGGCGTTGGTTCTCCGCCGCACTCGCTGCCGTCGACCTCCGGTACGCAGAATGACAAGATCGAGGAGGTCCATTGTGCCTGTATTTCAAAGCTAGAAACTCAAGTCGAGGAACAGGTAAGTCATAATTCTCACTGTGTCAAAAAACTATTGTAGCGAAAAACGCTTTTCTGAGTGATACAAATTAATTTCATCTTATTGAAATAAAAGTTTTCAATCTTTTCTTTGGCAGCTCTCTATAATTATTGAACAACATTGATAGTTTTGAAAAATAACATTTTAATATAAATTAACAAAAAATTTTTTTAATGATTATATGAGTTTAATAAATAATCATTTTTTTAATAATACCTATTTTAAAATATATTATGCATCCAGCATTTTTTCATTTGAAGATAATTGCATGATTCGCGTTATCTACGATTTTTTTAAAAGTTTGATGAGATTATCCATAATCTGTTAAGATATTTGATGATAACTCGAATGGGTGCGGATCGGATTTCTTTTATCAATCAGTCAACGTCGTTTGTTCACAGAGGCAATTACGGTTGCATGACGCCAGGCAAGTGGAAGCGAAAGCAGCGAGGATAAAAGAATGGGTCACTAATAAGTTGAGGGAACTGGAACAACAAAATCAACACCTGAGGGAACAGAACAACAAGTGTAACCAGCAACTCGAATTGTTGCGCAATCATATAACTAATATCGGACTTAAACCTCCCGTAAGTTTTTTAGATTATATATAAATTCATAGAATTTCTTTCTTTTTAATTAGTCTTTATATAGCAATTAAATAAAAAGGTTACAATAAATAATGCCTATTTGCAATTATTTACAAATTATTTACAATGTTAGTTATTAGACGAAAAAAGTTATATTGTGATTGATGAAACTTTAATAAATGTAATAGGTTCTTAAACAATAAATTCTCTGTAAATCTTCAGGCACCAACGAGAGCGTCATTGTCCTTGGAAGTGGATCCCACCTTGCGTATCGATCGCAGACGATCGGAGAGCTTAGAGGGTACCCCGCAAACGGTACCGGAGTCCGTGCAGAATACTGTAGCGGAACCGCAAACGAGTACGAAGCACCGGAGACATTTGTCCGCTTGCGGTAACATCCAACGAGGAGTCGCGACCGCCAACATGGACTCGAGGTAAAACTTTTGTCCGCACGCGGGCGTATGCATGATAATGCTTTAATTCTTACGAGACTAAACACATATCTCGCTACTTTTAAGAGCACACTAAATGCATTTGGCTCTCGTATCTCGATTCTCCTTGGGAGGCCTCACGACGTGATAGCGGCGCCCGAGTTTTCGAAATGTGGTACCCTGTAACGTCCTGGGACTTCCTGAGGGGATCCGTCGTCCCACCCTCTTATTATACTTTTACTATTACGTGTATTTTATTTCTCATATTTGTTATATTTATACATTTATTATATTATAATATAATGTTTTGTAAAATTTTGAATTAAATTTACGTGCTTTTAATTTAGTGAACAGTAGAATGTTTTAATTTAATAAACAGTGTAGAATTTAAAGACGCGCTCACGTACATACATACACTCTACACAGAAGGTAATTGAATTGATTCTGTGCTTTATACTTGCCGCTTCTTTTTATTCTCTCTTAGTCTACTGTCCGAGGAGCTAGCCGCAGCGGTGGAAAACCTGGTGATGTTGCCAAATATGTCTGGTGTTTCGGAGGCCAGCCGAGACAGCGGAAGCTCGGAAGCGGTGCACGACTATGCCGAAATATATACACCTAGTCGAGAGGGCATGAACTGGCTGCAAGGAGGCGGACAAGGTCCTCGTCCGCCGACTCCACCATTACATAGGTTTCCTAGCTGGGAGGCGAAAATATATCAAGTAATGATATAATTTCAGTCTTTCTCAAATACGTATACAAATGCAGTGAAAACTGTAAAAATTACCGAATTAGTTTATACGTAAACTGTGCACAAACTACTTTGAAATAATCAAATTTTTTGTATATTTCATATTAATTTCTGAAATAACTAAGCCTCGATAACTATTTGTAGGTAGCGGACGGTGGCCTTGGCATCGGGCCACCGACAAATGAGGAATCCGCACCTTCCACGATGACCACCACGACGAGTTCGTCGAAGCATTCTCAGGCCACAGGACACAACTTGACAGCGCACAATTCTCAAGGCTACTGCGATATTTCTGTTCCAGTATATGCTACTGTCAAAGGTAGATCATACAAATATTAATTAACTTTTAGAAGTTAGCATAAAAAAGGAAAGTACGCAAGTCTAGCAAAAATATAATAAAAATCACATTTATCAATAGTAAATTTGTAATATTTGTCTTTACCCATCATATATATATTTTTTTAGGACGTGCCAGTCAAATCAGATCTATGCCTTTCGGCGATAGCTCTGATGATAGTTCGGACGGCGAGGAACATCCGAATCAAACCGAAACTAATACTAGAATTACCAATAGCTCATCCGACAATACGGATTCCTCCCTCGGTAGCGGAAGCAGTCCTTCGAAAAGTATTAAAACAACCAGTAGCCTCAGTCCCGCAAAAAGAAGTTCTAGCGGATCTCCTAGTAAAAGCGTAAAACGTGGTGAGTTTAATTAATATGATTTTCCTTCTATCTGTTATATCATTTTTTAACAAAAAAAAAAGTATATTATAATAAGAATAGATAATAAATATTTGTATTGCATTTAATAAATATATCTATAATTATTTTTATTGACAAACATATTAAATTAAAAATTAAAACTTTATTATAATTATTTCGATAGTATCTTACACATTAAGAAGTTGAAAGAATAATAGAAACATAAAAGAAAATCGTTTGTTTAGGAGCATTAGGAGAAGGCGAATGCATTGAAATTCACATAATAAAATATTCGGCATCCAACAACTTTAAATTCGTTTGATTTGCAGATACTTCTCTGGAGTCAGGTTTATCCGAGGATTATGCAATACCTCCTGATGCACTAAGTTCGACATCTCTAGAATCTAGTATGCCTAGCCTTCTAATGCGCGTTTCTGGCGAAAGTCCAAAGAGACAGGAATCACTGGAGAAGACGGGTCATCTAGCGAAATTAGGCGGCAAGTTAAAAACTTGGCGGAAGCGATGGTTTGTACTGAAAAACGGTGTATTAACGTATTGGAAGAGTCAAAATGATGTCAACCGGAAACCTCAAGGCCAAATAATCTTGGACGAAGTGTGCAGGTATGCGATGAAATTAAGACGAATTTATAAATCACTGAGAAAAAAATTTATAAAATGAATAGACATAACATAAAAAATATTATAAATATTTAAAAATATTTTTAATATCTCAAAAAAACATTAAATTTGAGTACATTTAAATTTTTTTTTTTTTTTTAATCCATAGTTTGATATCTATTATTTTTATATTTTTTCAGAATCAATAGAGCTGAAGGAGCTGCCACTTTTGAAATAGCTACAGGTAAGAAAACCTATTACTTGACTGCCGACTGCATCGCCACGATGGAAGACTGGATAAGGGTGCTGCAAAACGTGCAGAGGCGAAACGCAACAAAACTTTTGCTCAGCAGGGAAGATAATAAACCAACGATACAGGGTTGGTTGACGAAGGTGAAAAACGGCCACGCGAAAAAGTGTTGGTGTGTGCTTATCGGCAAGATGTTCCTTTACTTTAAGTGCCCCAGTGATACGGTCAGTATACAAATAAACATGAACATAAACGAAATCATTATTAAATGCGTTCTCGAGACACGACTATACAACTAGCAATTTTTGTTATGATGAAAAATTTAAATAAGATTTAAGATGATTGATTAATTACTACTTTAAATTTAGTATCTTATAAAGTCCAGGAAAATATTCGTTGATCACTTTTTATTTAATCAGTTACTGTAGCTCAATAACAATTGTAACAGTTGTGTTTCTTGAACATTTAGTACGTATTTCATACTTTCATAAAAAAAATGTTTTTACATATAAATAATGTATTCAATCAATTCATTGAATCAACAGAATCCTATCGGCCAAATCAATATGAGAGATGCTCGAGTGGAGGAAGTAGAACATGTTTCGGATAGTGACAGTGAGGAGAGAGATGCCGAGTGCCCACACGAAAGAACAATTGGCATCTTTCCGACACATCAGGGTCCAACTTATTTACTGATGCCACATAAACAGGACAAGGACAATTGGCTCTACCACTTGACAGTGGTGTCAGGAGGTGGACCGAGCGCGGGCACACAATATGAGCAACTGGTGCAAAGACTAATGGAAACTGACGGTGATCCCAGTTGTGTGCTATGGCGGCATCCCTTACTGTTACATACGAAAGAGAGCATCACGAGTCCGCTGACGAGCCTAACCTCCGAATCTCTGCAAACCGAAGCCATAAAACTCTTTAAGGTTGACACGTTCCCTCGTTTTTTTTTTCACGATTGCTTGCGGTTTATGCCAAATTTTTAACACTTCTCTCGATAAAAATAATAGTTCTAATTATTTCCAATATTCTAATATGTTAAGTTTTACATATTACTTCTAGAGAGAATTGTGATTTCTATATATTTTTTTCTATCCTTTTATTCTCAAAACATGGATATGTTTGTCTTATTTTAAATACGGTATTTTTAAATTTACAGGTTTTATTCAATTTTTGTACATATAGATAATCTTTTTATATTAATTATTAACATTTATAATGAAATCTAGATTTTCTTAGCTACATTTTCTACACAATTCGGTTTTTCTCTTTCTTCATTTATATATTTTTATTTTATCTTATAGCGTTTTCCCTTGGGATACACTGGGTGGTAGTCTTACATTGGACTAGTTGCGTGTAAGCCCTACACTTGACTACACTGCACTAGAGTGGTGCACACTAACCGTGTACACTATTTCATTATTGCGCTAAGATTCTGCTCCCGGTTGACTTCCAATTTCAAATTTTAAATGTCACACTGTCTGTACAGTTCTACACCGTCCCTTTGAGGCAGTGTAATAAAAACGCACTTCGTACATAAAATTTGCACTATATTATGGCCACGGAAACACGTTACACTGAATAAGTTTGCCTACCACCAGCCGTGGAAACATGCTACACTGTCTGAGTGTTGCATTGATGGGTGATAGTGCAACCAAGAGAAAAACGCTATAAAATGCAGAAAAATGTATAGCAAGGCGTGACTAAAAGGAACAAGCTTAATTAAAGTATCACTAAAATAATTAACACACTTCTAATTGTACAGGCCTGTCAGCTGTTTATGTCGGTGGCAGTAGAACAAGCAGGTATCGACTACCATGTGGTACTAGCGCAAAATGCATTACAACAATGCCTAGATCAGCCTGAACTTCAATCTGAATTTATATGCGCACTGGTAAAGCAGACAAGTCGTCACACCCAACACCGTTTGGGCGTACAGGTAAAAAAGGCCGCCAGACTTGTGTCACTGGGTACTGCGCGCGTTGTAAGTCCTGCTTATTGTTTAACAAAAACAATCAACCATCCTGTACCATTTTTGAAATTAAAACGATACTCATCGATCGTCTGTTTTTTTTATCTTTGATAGATCTCATCTGTATCTCATATACATCATTGATCATATTTTCAATATCGATCATTCGAACGGTATTTCTTTCAACGCGGAAAATGGTACACTGGGTATGCTTAGTCAAGTATTAAAAATAATCCTTCCAGGCGTGGACACTGAGTAGTGGTTTAGAATGGTTCAATTAAAAATATAGCACTCGATAATACTTAGCGACAAAAATATGTCGCTATTGTCACAATACTTGACCAAGTTTAATGACTATTTTAGTTTTAACAATCATTCACACATTTAATTCTAATTTGCCGCTTTAAGTGTGCTGTCTTTTAGATTCTCACTCTATTCAATCGCATGCGTTTATACTTCTGTTAGGCATCACGATGGTGTTAAGTTTTTCATTTACTTTTTATCATATATATTTTAATATTTATACATCATACCCGATCAAATTACCCTAACGCCCATCATGTGAGCTGAACATATTTCGACAATTATCATAATATAATTGATGTGAAAGTCTATTCATCGCGTCTGTTACATCTGATGTACGTTATATAAAATGTAATATTTTTTTCTGAATAAGAAATCTGTCAAAATACGTTCCGCGCCACACACACACACTTGCAGAATGGTATGTTGGTGTACATGAGGACACACACAGAAAGAAACATTTTTAAATTCTTTTTTTCTAATTTTTCACACGAAAAATTTTCCTTTTTTATAATAGCTGCAATATATAGTTACTTGGATATTCTCTGTTTGAATGCTGCTTAGAGATTTAGATTCTTATTGCCGGAATATATATATTAGATTATTTTAACAAATAAAAGTTATAATCCTTTACACACACCTTTCCAAACAATACAAATTTCCAAAAGATGTCATAAAGACGTAAAAACATCTAAAAAGTGGTTCAAATAAATCACTTCAAAGATATCTTTTAGATATCTAACAGACAATTTTGGATTCTTTGTTTTGTTTCCTTTTCCTCTTTTTCCTCTCTGCTATCCTTTCCTCTCTTCTTTTTTATCTATCCTTCTTCTTCCAATTTAATTGAAAAAAAAAAAAAAGACAGTATGTACATGGACAGTGTTGTCCCGAATTTTGCATCACAAGACACAAACTTGTGAAGAAAAGAGTCTTAATCGTCTCATGTAATGTCAACGGACGTAAACGCAACGCTTTACAATTGGTACGGTAGATTCACACGGCCTAAGAGCTTTTCTCATTGACACATTTTAATTTTCATGCAATTTTTGAGGGTTTATACCGAGTACGCGTTTTTATTCGATTAACACGTAGAGTTGTGCGGTGAAATTTCGATTTATCGTGCTTATTTACTAACTACTACCGAAACACAATTAATTCAATTAATTCTACTTTCTAGTAATGCAAATTAAAAAAAAAAATCTAGACGTCGTGTGAAAAATTAATTATTTAAAGGAAATTAATTAAGATTTGTTCTCCAAAGTAACAAATTTCTAATTTTCGAGATTATGAAACGATTTTCAAGATTATTATTTCTTTTATTCTCTGTTTATTTTCGTTTAATTTACTCTTTTAATTAATTCATCAATATTATTTTTAAAAAAATCACTCAATCAAAAAATTAAAACAATTGTCGGTCCACATTGTATGCACTTAAATTGTTACATCTTATTCCACAAAAATAAATAGAAAAAAATCTTAGGAATTTGAAAAAATTATAGAGAGAAATTTTTTCAGATTCTTAAAAAAAGATAAGATCACTATTGCACTAAAAATCTTATTTAGAAAAATTATTTGTTTAATCACTTATGCGTAACACAAGTAACGCACATATGATAAGAACAGAAATGAGCAGAATATATATACAATGCAATAGAAAACTAAGAATCTTTAAATTAATCCTCGCTTTCTTTCGAAAGGCAGAAATTTGATTTGGCAGAATTAATCTTTCATTCTTTTAACCCGCTGTTTTTTTGCAAAATGTACATATTCACGATTCTAATAGTATCTATGCAGACATATGGAGAATGAATATCCATCTACAAAATAATAAATGTAAAAAATAATACAAAAGCTGAAGAGGTAAATACATGCATAATACAAATTATCAAGATGTTTCGTCACTCGTGTAAAATGTGTCGCGTTTACCCTTTGACGAGAAGTAGTATACTAGGATTGGCTGAGATATATGCCAGGACGTAGTAGTATGCCAGCATACCATTGCAGCAGCTCCTCCTCTGCGCCACGCAATCGCTCTTCACCTGCGATACGCAAAGTCCCGCGGCAAATGGCAGCGGTGAAAATGCGGACGCGCAATCAACGGCCTCGACTTCTCACAGTCCTCCGCTCACGCAGGGCCACTCGACCTCCACTATCTTGGACTGCAAAACTAATCCCGCGCAGTATGTGCTTATCCAGGGATGGCAGCTCCTGGCACTCGCCGTTTCCCTCTTCCTGCCCAAAAATAATCGACTACTATGGTACCTGAAACTGCACCTGCAGAGAAACGCCGATAGCAAGTAAGTGAGCCGATCGGAAAGTGGATCGATCATTGTAGAGGGAAATGTGAAAAAAGCTCTCAGATCATTTCACGAAGAAATAGGAAGAAAAATATCTCATAAGAAGAAGAATAATTTCTAATATTTGCGCTCTGATTTATTATAAAGAAGATATGGTAATATGGGCTTCCATCTATTTTATAATTTTATATATTTTTTTTAGCTATATTTAAGTTAATGATATTACAAATAGTAATTTATTAATCTACATTTACTTTAAACACACTTGAAATAATTAAAACTGTTTACAAAAAAAATTCTTTAAATGAAAAGGAACACTATGGTGTGACTATCAGAGTGTGATGATAAAGTGAACATTCCGTATATTTTTACAGAATCTAAAACTCAGAATTTGAAAAGTTTTCTACATGTGTTGCTAAAACTATTTTGATATAATCTTTGTCTTAGCAATAAATAAATCTATTTTAATTGATTCAATCAGTCTATGTCATAAAATCACGTTTTTTCTGCAATGACAGATCTAATTATAATTTTTGTTACTATTGATTCATCTTGTATCACATTGGATTGTATTATATCAGAACGGAATGCGGCAAATATGCGGCTTACTGTGAGAGAGCTTTGGAGAGAACATTGCAGAACGGTGGTAGAGAAGTAAAACCGTCAAGAATGGAAGTACTTTCAATACTTATGAAAAATCCATACCATCATTCATTGCCACACGCCATACCAGTTCACTTTCTGAATGGCACCTATCAGGTTGTGAGTTTTGACGGTAGTACTACAATAGAAGAATTTCTGAATACTTTGAATCAAGAAATTGGCTGTAGGGATGTTCATCAATCCGGTTTCACGCTATTCAGTGATGACCCGATCGAAAAAGATCTGGAACATTTCATCGACCCAGAAGCGAAGGTTTGTGAAAATTGAAATCATCTTTCACGTCAAATTATTCGTATCACTTGAGACTATTCCTATAAAAAGAATACCAAATTTTTATCAAATATATGTATATTAATAAGATTGGTAAAATGTATTTTTAATGAAACTTATAAAATTAACAATTTTAAGTAGAATAAGAACTTGTTATTCTACTTCAGTATTTAAAACTTGATACTAATTATGCTTCAGCTGTGTGACATTATCTCAAAGTGGGAGACAGCGTTACGAGAAAAAGGTTCGGGAAAATTCGAGAATACTAGAGTGATACAATTAACGTACAAATCTCGTTGTTACTGGCGGCAAGCTGCTAAAATGGAAACCGACAAAGAGAGGCTCTTGTTGTGTTATCAAGTGAATCAACAAGTTGTGCAAGGAAAGTTTCCGTTAAATCGTGAACTCGCATTTGAATTGGCATCGTTGATGGCACAGGTACAATTTCATGTTTTTAAATATATTGTAAATAATTGTAGGTATGTATTTTATTATTATAAATTTATATATTTATTGTTATTGTAAAATTAATTATTGTAAATAATTAAAAGGATAATTGAATCTACTTATTACTCTACATGATCATTTAATCAATTTTACAGATTGATTTTGGAGAATACAACAATGATAAAGCACGTGGAAGCGGTCCTGGAAGCAATCCGCATCATCTCGTACTCCAAGCTCTGGATAAATTTTATCCAATACGCTATCGAGCAAACATTACCGCCGATCAATTGAGGTGAATAATTGCTAAACTCAATTCAATGTAAAAAGAATATTTATTTTTACATTAAATTATACATTCCTCGCTTTCGTAATAAATTATTTTGACTCCATCAGGGAATTGCAGGAGAAGCTACAGGAAAAGTGGATTGCTTTAAAAGGACGTAGCGTATTGGATTGTGTTCGTATATATCTCACATGCACCAGAAAGTGGCCTTTCTTCGGAGCTACCTTATATCAAGCAAAGGTATAATGACGTTATTACAAATATTTTATAATTAGGAACAAGATGATTAATAATAGATTAATAGTATAATAATAATAATAGATTAGAACATATTTTGGGTAATTATATACGTATGTGATTTAATTTCATTAAAAATTTTTTTTTTATAGTTGAAGCAAGGCGATTCTGTGACAGTTTGGATAGCGGTTTCCGAGGACAGTGTAACGTTGCTTGAATTACAAACAATGGCTATCATGTGCCGATATAATTATGCAAATATAGTAACGTTCGGTGGTTGTTTAGATGATTTCATGCTCGTTGCTTGCCCAGACGAGGGTGCAGCCGAACAGAAATTGTTGTTCGCACTCTCTAAACCCAAAGTGCGTATAATAAACTAACGTCTCATGAAAAGTTAATAATTTAGAAAAATATTTATTTTATACATCTTTTATAGATTTTGGAAATAACATTATTGATCGCTGATTATATGAACGCACTGGGCCACGCATTACCGGGTACTCCACAAATGAATACTCTAACACGCAATGGATCACACCGATCTATCAAATCCACTCTAAGACCTGCGACTGGTCGGTAAAAAAAGATTTCTGTTTTGTAAACATGTTATATAAAATTATAATTATATAAGATTGTTTTGAAAATTGATAAATAAAAGAACAAAATTAAAACATTAATTCAAAATAGTTACTTTTGCTTAACTGTTTCTTGTATCATGATTGTTGGTGATCGATCTCTTCTCAGAATTAATATCTAGATAAACAAGCTACAAGTTAAAAGTTAAAATTAGTAGATCTTTACCTAGTTCTTGTCTAATAAAGTAATGATTACATATTAATCAGCAATTAACTCTAATTAATATTTTACAAAAACAATGTTTAATGAATTTTATTTTTGCAGGTTCAAGCTGTCTTCCAACTCAACCTGATATATTGAAATCTACGCCAGATCACCAAAGACCTTAAAATTGCATCGCGTTAATTTTTCGGAAAGACAATGAGAATGTTCCTTGGATTTGCGCCAAGATCTGATTACGATAAATATTTTGTTTGTCGTTTGTACTATATAAAAGCAGCGTAACAGTGCAGTATTAGTATCGTACACTGCGATGTGCGGTGCATTGTTTTTTTTTTTTTTTTTTTTTCTCGAGAAGTCGCAAACCTGTTCAAATCATGTTTACGTTTACGTCGTATGTGCATGTAAATTAGTATTGACGCTTATAAAAATGTATTTGTGTAAATATTTAATAATAAGCGTAACAGGTAACCACGAATGACCGTGTTGGTGATTTAAAAAGCGGCTGAAATCGAATCGAACACTGAAATCGATCTGTAACACTGCCTAATTTAGTATGCGCGATTACACATCGAATAGTTTCATCCAGCGGTTACGTAACAAGACTTTTGCTACGCATTTATATATCAAATGAAAAACAAAAACGAAAGAATGCGTAAAATGTTGCATAATAGCGATATATTTACACCGTATCGTCTATCATGTATATATTAATCAAAGTTATTAAATGTTTAGAAGTATATTTCTCGAATGAAAGACAGCGATGCGTTCTTTCCCAATTTTCGATGTCGAATGGAGCACTTCTGAGCCTACATGAACGTTATCGCACTATGTTATAATATGGACATAATCTTTTAATTTTATTTAAAATTTTGTTCTACTTTTATCAACAAAAAAGTCAATTTTATTTAAATTTATTTTATCAAAATAAATTTTCATAGATTTAATTGAAATTCAAATAAAAGATTTAGGTTTAAAAGAGAATAGAAATTTAAGTCTCATGTGTGAGAATTTATATTTAATTGAAATTTGTACATTTCATAATTTAAATTTATTCGAAATTAAATTCGATTTTGTGATATTCTAGCAAAGAAAAAAAGTGTAATTCAATACAGAAAAGAAAAGATTATTTTATTTTAACAATCATACATATATTGTAATAATAAATAAATCGGAAAACGGAACTGTCTCATTGACAAAAAAAAAGAGATTGATTACATTTCTCTCTTCTCATTTTTAGATATTTGCTTCTTTTATGTGAGGCTACTCATGAACTCAATCAACGAAGAAGAAATCCGATATACTCGTATTAACTTTGATAACAGCTAGTCTCGTATCTGATATTTATTTAAGGTGTTAGCGATTATGTGGTTTTTTTTACAGGTACACGACCAAATAGATGTAATTAGGAACGTAATTTACTATTTAATGTAACTAACGTTACGTTCCTACGCGTAGTACGTGTGCAACATTGTGTATTAAACATACATAACGATTATAATGTTTACATACACACATATACACACACACACACACACACAGAAAGAGAGAGAGAGAGAGAAGTTTTGTACTCGCGTTTGACGTGTCCTACGTAACTAGTAAACGTCTTCCTTCTAGCAGTTACAAATTATGAGCTGAAAGTAGGGCTTTCGTGCAATACGTGCAAAACTTCTACAGTTTTGTAATCTTCGAAATTACATCACTATGCGTCTGTTTCAAGTGGAATAACGGATCTCGATTTTTCGAAGGATCTCTGGAAGATGTTTTGAAAATCCCTCAGATCTTCGTGATCTCCTTTTTAAATATTATATTTGGATGGACTAAGGCGCGCGTATACTTGGCTTCAGTTAGCATGTTGTGAATGTTTGTATGAATAATTCGAACCTCAGACTAATGAGAGCAGTACAAAGATATGCAAGAACGACATTTTGTCTTTAATTTTTTATATAATATATCGAATGTGCTGTTGCGTGGGTGATTAGCACCCGTGTATCATGACATAGTTGAAGGAATCGTGCGTGTATTACACTCATTTATTCATGTAAATATCACCATCAGAACGGACTTGCGTTTCTAAAAAATTAGTAGAATCAAAATAGAGAGAGTTAGCAATTTATACAATCGAGCTCTGTTTGAATCAGATTCTACCGAGCCTATCTCAGCTTATATTTATATTTATTATTTATTCATATGAAAAAGGTATGAGCAAGGCAAGTGGAAAACTGTGTACTATTATACAGAAAAACAAATAAACTGCACATTAATACAATTTTACAGACATCGATAGCAATTGTCGAACTATTCATTTAAAAGAGACAGGGAAGACTTTTTAAAGACATCCGTTTTTATGATGTAAAAAGGTCCATTATAGACAAGAATCATAAGTATTTAACATCTATTTCTTATGTTTTTGTTAATATATATTTATTTATTTTATAATTTGTACATAATTAGATAATTTGTATATAATTTACTTTTTAATTTTTGTGACAATACAAGAAGTTCCAACGTTTCAATCCACTTCTTCTGGTCTTACAGGATGTGTTAATGGAATCATAGATTTCTTTTTTACATCTTTTGACAAGGCTTTTCTCATATCTAAAAAAAAAGATAATATCTATTATATCTCACACATACATAAATTTATTTTAGATTTTCTAAAGAAGAACTATACCATATGCATCTTCATCTGGATCTCCATTGTAATATTCTAATACTGTCCTATACACAATGTATCCTAATTGTTGATACATTGTAATAGCCACCTTGTTGCTTACTCTAACAAAGAGATCCACAAAATATGCCTGTTTCCTGATTTAAATAAAAATATATATATAACAAAAACTATTGATAAGATTACAATTAATTAGACATAATAAATTATGGTTTACTTTTCTGATACGTCCTCAAGATATTTCATCAACATTGCAGCAAGACCCAACCTTCTATAATCAGGTGAAACTGTAAGGGCTGTTACATGACCATGCCAATTTTCTCCGTGACCTTCAGCCTTTCCCATGACTTTGATAATTTCAAATAATAATGTTAACTTTAAATAATGAAAAAACTAGCTTTATTCATAAGAATATATTGGAAACAAATAAACTTACTGTAACCCATAATTTCACCACTTGGAGATTCTGCCACTTGAATGTATTCCGGCCAATGTGAAAGATAATGCATATAAAACGAAAGTCCATACTAACAAACGCAGAAGATCAAGGAATATACAATGAACAGTTTTGATATTATACCAACAAAATGTAATTCATAACATAAAAACACCTTAATTTCCCATTATAGACAATGTTTTTTGAAAATTTTTATTATAAATAAACCAAATATATTTTAAATAAAATTATTTATTCATATAGATAAAAAGATTTTAAAATAATTTTTTTTTATCTAAAATTTATTTTATATTTTATTTTAAGAATTTATCAAATGTTTATGTATCATGATTAATATAACTTTATAGACTTATGATAAAACATATCAATATGTTATTCATTTTCTGTCAAGTAAAATAAAGGATACTGTTTCTGTGAGTGGATCCAAATTCCTAAAAATAAGAAATATCGTAACAATTGACAACAATAAATAATTATCGTTCGACTAAATAACAGGTTAGAAGAACTTGTCAAAAATACTTACACATTATTAAATTTGAACAAATCATTGCACGTGAAGGGTCTAAGTGTCGTCATTTTCGAAAATTGTAAAAGAAATAATTTACTTTATTCACTTATCGATAAAATTTAGTTCAAAACGGATTAGTACGAACAGTTCGAACAATTTTTACTGTTCCATGCTAGGCTATGTTCATGTTCCCAGGTTCCCACCAGTTCCCACCCGAGTGCCATCTATTGATACCAACTGAGTGAGAGCCAGTTTTATTTACAAAAATAATCGATTACGCCCATCACTATAAAAGACTGTCAATTAAAATCTCTCAGTTACAATCGTTTTAAAAATATTAGAAGAATATATTGTAAGAATGTATTGTATATAGAAGATAGAGCGCAAATTTTGGAACACATCTTTTAGGGAAGTTTCAAAATATTGTCAAAATTATTAAAGAGATTGTCATAAAAGGCGAGAATTAAATTGACATACTTTATGAGTCTCGAAAATTTATCAAAATTATTAGAATATATCCTAAAAAAATTTTTTTTAATTCTGTAGGTTAAAATTCTAATTTAAATATAAAACCAGTTTTTCGATATCGGATATTGATGCAATTTCATCAGGCGTCTACATATACAGGATACAGAATTTCGGTACTCCACTTTCCCCAATTGTACTAGATTTGGTCATTCGTGATGTGGAACTCATGGTGGAAGGATTATTCCACCATGTGTGGAACTAGAAGTTAGGAATACAATTTCCGTTTTATTATCGATACGTTGACGACATAGTTAATGGCAGTGCCCAAAAGTATAATTGATTTCACACATAAAACATTTAACACTAATTTTACAATAGACTATAATTTATTCTAGAAATAAGTGGACAGAATAAATTTTCTGGATCTCACCATTATTAATAACTATAGCATTATAAAATTTGACTGATACCACAAGCCTACATTCTCAAGGAGATATTAAACTTTTTATCCTCACACTCTCTTTCTCAAAAGAGGCATAATTATAGAAATGATTGATACAACATTTTAGTTATCATATTCTAAATACCATAAAAAAACATTGAGTACATAATCAGTATCTTATTAAATAATAATTATCCTGATTTAATTTTTGAGACTATTAATGCATGTTTAAAATGGTTAATGCAAAATTACATAAAAGAATAGAAGAAAGAAAAGAATGTTAACAGTAATGAATATTTGTGGTGGTTTTTTTAATACCTTACATTCCATCAATATCAGAAGAATTTAAAAAAATCAGCAACAATTTTAATACAAAATTAATTTTCACCAGCTTAAACAAATTAGACATTTATAAACGTTTATAAACGTTATTAGAAAGACATTCTCCCAAGAGAAAAAAAGAAAAATGTTTATAAGACACTAACACTCTCATACTGAAGGTTTACACCATAATTATGTACAAATTCTTAAGGATATAACATACCTAGTTTTGAAATATTTAATTGTATAACTTCTCTAAAATATTTATAATTGTATAACATCCTGTTTTATTGATTTTATTTTTAATTGTCTTCTTCTTCGTGAAATAGGCTTTAAGTTTTTCTAATTGTAAGATTAAGAAATCTTTTGAAATTCCAAAGTCTTAGCTTGGTACTTTGAGCACTTGACTTGAACTTCTTCGGTAACTTCGCTAGGAATTATTTAACGCCGGATCTGAATGGCACTGGTGATTATAGATCTCTTAATCACTAAGTGGAGCCATTTTCGGTTCCTTAAACGAGAAAAATATGTGGGCGCAGGTGGGATTGAACTCGGATCTATAGATCGCGAGTTAATCACATTGAACCATTTAACGCACAATTCTAATTATTTTTATTTGTTTTTATTTATGACGTCTCACAATTACATTTATTTTTATCATTAACTTATGTACTCACTCTTTATATTTATATTGCTGACATGTCTTTATATCGTAATAAAATTAACAGTTAAAAAGTAGATGCTCAAATGTAAGCTTTACATCAAATAAGTTGATCAAATTAATGTAATTTGCGATGAAACCGACTTGTTTTTATTGAATTGATTGACTCAATGTTTTAAGACATCTTTATGTTATGAAAAGTTATTTACTCTATACGACCAAAAAATCTACTCAATCATTACCAATTTAAATTTAACAGAGATTTCAACATCAAATCTGTAAATCTTATGTGACTCTCAAACAATAAATGCAAAGGAGGAATATTAAATTTGTATCAGCTGAGAATGATTCCAAAGTGAGTTGAAACATACTAAAAATTGTTATTTCAATGGAATAAAATAGTTATTTGAAAAAAATCACTTCTTATTACTGTGCGTATTAACAAAATGTTCTCTCGTTCGCCCTTAATTACTGGAATTTATGGTTTTGTAATGTTCGTTCTGATTTCAGGTATTGAGTATAATAATTATAAAACATGAATAAAAATGCTTAGCTTCTTATTTTTGTGTTATTTATATTGTTATACGAGGAATTGGAAATGAACATTACATATGCCTCAGAACATGACCAAATAAACTGTAGATGCAATAAAATTTCATGCAAAAAAACTTAATTATTTATTCCCACATTATTTGTCCTTTCGTTGTAACATTAGACTATCATGCATATTTACCACTATATCTTCTACAAAATCAGATATCACCCCACCATTAATATCGATAAAATTTGCAACGGATTTTGTCACACTTGTCGTATAAGAGATTCCCGTTGATGCGTTTTTAACTGACAATACCAGATTGTACTTGTCATCATATTTTTTTAAATACGAACTTGCCTCCCAAATCATGTCGGGATTGAAACCTGCTGGATCTCTGAAAGTGGGAGAGATTATGACATTTTACACAATTCTACAAATCTGTATTTATATTCAGTATTTCTTTAAAATAAAACTTAAATGAGTAAAATATGAAGTGTAAAGAAATGACAAATAATTTAAATGAAAATATCATAGAAATAAAAATAGAAAGAAGCTTCGTGAATTATAGACTACAAATATATAAATTTACCTTTGAACTGCAACTACAAATATGCCTTTCTCTTTAAATGTAGTATACAATGTCAAGACTCCCATTAAAAGGAAATACAAACAGACACAGATTATTAAAACATGTTTGCAGGCAGGAAATGGATATAAGTAATCACATAACAGTGCTACAATAGCTGTAGTAACAGTAATCCCGCAGATGAATAGTCTTCCATCAAACAGACCAAAATGTTCTATGTAATGATATTTCTTTGTTAGTACATCCTTGACTACATCATCCAAGGCATTTTTCACAGCAGAGCCATCCCATTTATTGATTCGTAAGCCCTGCAGAATAAATGCCTTTTATTTTGTTTTGATAATAACAAAATAAAATTTATTTTATACAAACACAAATTATAAATTAAAGTTGTAGAAAAGTTACAGTTATATTGTAATGAAATTATACAGATAGAATTTTTTATTATTATAGAATACATACATCTTGCTTCAATTAAAAAATTACAAATTTTATTTGAATTATAAAAATTTGCGAATTATGAATGATGTATTTGAAGTACATTAGAAACAATTGTATAGTTAAGCAGAGATCTATTAAATATTAAAATAAAATCTCAATTGTTCGGAGTACATATTCTACCATACGTGGCAATATAAACGACCTTATTGTCAACGAAATGAATAACGGTTCGATTCGAAGTAACAATTTATTTTCATCGAAATGCACGTGTGATTTTATAATCGTGAAATTTCAAATGAGAATGATTTAAGTGAGAAACATACGACTTTTTTCTCCGCTATATCACGCTCCATCACGACCATAAACTCTTGATAATCGGGCTTGATAGAACTTGGTTTGACTCGCTTGATAACGGGGATACATCGATCAGGGGTACCGTTATTGACCCTAACCTCAAAACTGATTCTAGTAACACGCATGGGCCGTTTGAATTCCTGTACGGAGTTATCAGCAATGTCGAGTGGCTTTTAGAGATTTTGCGATTTTTATGTTCAACAGCCTGTTGTGAATATTCATAAATTTATTAATTAAAAATTGTCGTAACATCGCATATAAACGTAAATTGTAAATGTCTAACAATTTAGAATTTAGATGATATATTAGTCCAACATATTTATTTTATACATCGTTTTTTATAATACAGCGCACATTTACACATAAAAAATGCGCAATGTACATGGATGTACATACATATTGCAGTATACTATATTCAATATGAATGTATATTCTTAAAAAAATCTTAGATTATTATTTTAATAAACATATTGTTTCGCCAGAGCTCTCAAAAATTTAGCTTTACGAATATTAGCTGCTTCTCTTTGGATCTCTTCATTGTTGTTGGAGTTTAATTCTAACAAACCAATGACTTTGATCTGCAAAATAAAATTTTTTATAGAGAAAAAAAATGTAAAGAAATATATTAACCTGTAAATTATATATCCAAATATTTAAACAATTATTTGTTGTTTGTAATTATGTCACTATTAAACATTAAACACTTAATTGATTTGATTTATTTACCGCGAGTTGCTTTCTGTGATGCTCTCCACGCTTCGTATGCAACTGTATAAGATACTCGAGTATCGTTGTATCCCAAATACAATGATAATATGCGTCCATAGCATCAGCCACGGCACAGCTCTTTTGATCGCTGGCTGCCATTTTAAACGCCAAAGAATAATCTACTTCCTCCAAAAATTGGCACAACACAGCCGCCTGAGTGTAACATTGTAAATGAGCGCAACATTTAATCATTCTTCTATAAACAAGATCGTCTATCTGCGTGCGTGGGATGGGTTGACTAAACAAATCGCTGGCTATCATGATTGCCTCCAGATAATATCTCATTGCACTTTCATAATAGTTTAGAACTAAAAAAAAGAGCAAATAGTATTATATATATATATATATATATATATATATATATATATATGATGCAAGTGAAATATATAAAATATAAATATGTAAGATAAAGCACTATATACAATATTTATATTATTTTATTTGTTTGTATTTGATGAAACAAAACATACCAAAATTAAGATCACCCATCAATCTCAACCATGGCACATTGCAGGGATAATATTTTAGAGCTTGCGTCAATAATTGGAATAATAATTCTCCAATTTGTCTGATGTTATACGAATTTGCACTGTAAATATTAATTTTAATATAACAATTAATAGGTATCACTGAAGATATTTTGAATACATTACTAATATCCAAAATACATTAGTAATATTAAATATTAAAATTTTTAATTGTTATTATAAAAATATGTAATATGTATTATACAATAATTATAAAAACCATCATATAATAAATACATAATATATTATAATACACATACTTTGGTACACTGGCAGGCCAAAGAGATAAATACTGCGTGTGTAATTCCAAACTCGATTCATCACGCAAAATGTTGCGCAAACGAGCTAATAATGATATTACTACAGTGAGAACCATAGGTTCTCGTAATCGAGTAAGTGTAAGAGCAATACTAGCAGCAACGTCTTTTGACGAACTTCCACTATTACTGCCACTACTGCTGCGTTTCTGTGACTGATCTCTAGTAGGACCAAATGCTGCTAAAACTAAAAGAATATATAATTTTATTTGAGGATTTATTTTATTACATGTATTTCTTATTTTGAAGCAGACTATTTAGAAAAATAAAAAAAAAACTAATCCCTTTATCTAAAACATTTTTAATTTAATATAGATATAATAAAAGTTTTAAAGTTCAAAATATAAATCTTTTTTTTTATAAAAAAAAAAAGATTATATGTATATGTGCCTTGATAAAAATACTTACTCATATCCCATGCATCTCGCGGAAATTTGCGGGTTCCTTTGTACTTAACAATGTCTTGGCAAACGCTACTAATGGCAGCTGCAAATTCAGTGTAACTCCAACGCTTCTCTAAACTAGTAAGATACTCCCACTCAGCTATATTTAGGAGGAAAACCGTACAGTATTCTATTACTTCTTGTCGTGGAATTAGCTGATCAGACGCTTGTAATGCACCAAGACATTGTTTACTCCGTACAATCATACTTTGCACATCACCTAAAAAAAATTGAATTATACAATAGTTAAATATTATACTAATAGTTAAACAAATACGCTATTTTTTTCATTCTTAATTCTCCGTGTACGTACAGTCATTTGTCGTTGGCCAAGCTTGAAAACACTTCCATATCTCCACAAGCAGGCATTCCCAACTCACTAATTTGCACAGCTTAAAGATCAACGAGCCTCCGCTTTTTACGTGTTCCTGTAGCTCTTTATCCAATATTTTGAGAAGCCCTATGGCACCGTCAAAGTTTTTGGAAGTTATCAATTCTCGACTCTTCGCGAGTAGAACATATGAATAATCCTGGAGAAATCCCCTAGGAAGCGTCATTACCACACTCTGCAATGGAATGGGTAACTCCCAGCAGCCATTTACATGATATAATGGTTTCATTCGATGTTTCCCATCAAGCTGGATCAACGTTTCACGAATTATATGAGAATCATACGACTCTATCAACTTTTGCTCCAATTCAAACACTTCAATTCTTGCTTTTTCTATAAATTTCAACAAAAAGAAAATGTTAGTTTATATGTAAGACTAAAATTTTAATATCTTTAATATTTTCTTTTGTTTTTCTCGTAACAGTTTATACTTACGTATAAATGATACAGATGGAATACTCCAGTCGTTATGTAGCAACAAGTCTGGTATTTCTATTTCGTCAGAAACAATTGCTTGCTGAAGAACTGCGAGTTCTGCTTCATCGAATAATGATGCATAGAAAGGATTGTTGAATAGCTTTGGAGCAAGCCCTTCTATATTAGCAGTGTTTATAAGATAAAGAAGATAACGTGAAATTCGTTTTTTATCCATAGTTGTTGCTTTTTCCAGAACATTATCTAAAGCCTAGTACATAACAAGATGTAATTAATAATTAATTTGTTAACAATAATTTAGAAAAACAATTTTATTAAATTGTATGAATAACTGAAGAGCAGAAACATCTTCAAAATGCATTTTGTCCAAAATTTCATTTTTTGAGTTAATGGTGGCATAGTATTCAATATTGAGAGATTAATATTTTAAGCTACTTTATGTTCTGAAAGCATTTCTACACCATCAATTTATGTGCTGGAAAAAATCTTGACATTTGAATTTACATTATGTCTTTCAAGTAGAGACAAACAAAAATTATTTGTTTAACATTTTCAACAACTATTTAGCGATTTTGTTGAACATTTCTCATTTTATTGATTGGCAAATTGTTAGTTTTTGTAAAGCGAGCAGTCTTTTTTTTTTTTCTTGTAACTCTCTTTTCTCATTTTCTGAAAATTATAAATTTCGGAAACGCATTTTGAAATTCTACTTTTAAATTAAGTATTAAATTAATGCATACTAAAAAAAAGTTAACAAAAATTATTTTAAGGAATAAAAATATCTAAAATCTTTTATTTTCAATTATTTAAAAGATCAAAAAAATAATTTTACCAGTTATAAGAGAACTTAATTCAAAAGTGTAAATAAAAGCTATTTTACCCAGAATAAAACATCCTGACCCTTTGTACCAGCTGCCTTAATTTCAGTTACATAATCACCCAAAATTATGCTGTCGTCAAGGATTTTTCTAACCAGATTCAAGCATTGTATTTGCAACAGAAGATCGCGAGCAACTACAAATTTCCTGTTAACTAATCCGCCTTGCACATCTAGTTCCAAATTATCTCTATAAACCTGTGGTATCTCTCTGAAAACATTATCTGCTTGCAAAATCTGCAATATATTCTGCAGATTTTGCATGTATTGTGAATATACATTATTTGAAAATATATATGTGATAAATGCATAAAAATATACCTACAGTGTATTGATCTTTGATAGAGGTGTGTAAACGCTGTGTAAGGCTAGACGTAACTTCTTCCAGCGGTACTTCGCATGCTAAACAACAACCATCTAAAAACTCTTTCTGCACTTTACAATACGTTAATTTTTCTACTGGATTAAAATTACTATAAAACTCCTTTGCTTGTTTAATATGATGTTTGGCTTCTTGATACTCTTCTCTCAATAAATGAAACATCGCGAGATCATAATGTATCTAAAAAATAATTTAATATATTTAATTATTCCTCAACTTTATCAAAGATAATAATATCCTGCTTTTGCAGTTCTCGTACCTGACATTTAAACTCATCTATGTTTACCAGGTTCATATTTTCCCAATTTTGCTTGATCTCCGTACTGTCTTCCGTCAGCATTTGAAAAGTGTCAAAAGACAGAACCTTTGGTTTTATATCGGTCATTTGTAAAATATTGTTTAGGGCACTTACACTATTTGGTATGTGCACTTCTAATTTCCTGATAATATCATCTACTATACCAGGAGGTACATATGTTGATTCCTGAGTACCTGGTCTGATTTGTGTGCAATAAGATTTTTTTATTCATAGCTCATAATAGATTAAAATCATTTCAAAGTATTGCAATAATACTCAATAAAATTAAAGCATCCTCTGTTCCACCCTGCAAAAATAGGCAAATTTCGAGATAGAATAATTTCATCAAAAATAATTATATTAATTTAAAAAAGCATTTTAAAACTTAAAATTTCTACTTTTTAGATCAATACTTAAAAAAACGGTATTACATAAATGAAGCTGCATAAGATCTCAAAACTTTTTACAAAGTTCCATGGTTCAAATTAAAAATTGTGCACAAAAGCAGTTTGCAACTTTCAAAAGAGTAAATCTTTACCTTTAATCTAATACCTCAAATTTGCCTATTTTTGCAGGGTAAATAGGTGATGCTTAATTTTGTTGAGTAATATATATTATAAAAGAAAAAAAACTTACATGTGAAGTAACTGTTGTTTTGGTTGTTTATTGCTGAGAGCTCTATAAATAATTGCTCTTAGGTGCCATCTATGGTATAAAACCAACGTGAACAAAAGCTGATCAGAAGCAGTTTCCATAAAAAATTCTGGAATTGTAGGAATTTCTACTGCAATGTCTATAGTAATATAAAACAGATCTTGCAGTAATGTCAATTGTATCAGCAAAGGTAGCTTCTTCTCTAGCACATCCAAATCCCATCTAAGGTAAGCCGCTACTTTCAAAGAAAGTATTTTTAATGCTAAATTTTTGTGAGTCCATTTGTTTGTACCATTTGTCTTTACATCATTTGATTCTCCATCAATTCCTTTCAGCTCCATTTCTTTTTGATCAGAATTAATGGTCATAAATTTTATTATCAGGTCTGTAGGCGATGGATCTAAAAATCACAATACATATATTATGGTTTTATTTAATGTAAAATTTTAATATTATCAATATTAATAATTAATTTTATTGATTAAATTTGAATTACAAATATTTCAAATATATATAAAATATATAATTGTATATGTAATGTCAACATTATTAGAATATTAAAAGATAATAGATATTAAATAAAAGATTAAAATATTAGAAACATTTCAGAAATAATATAATTCTAATATTATTTCTGAAATATTTCAATTCCATCCAGTTAGCATTATAGGCTACAGTTATTTACCTGGGAAAGGTTTTGACAAATGTTTCTGCAGCAACGAAGGATTCAGCAAAAACTCAAACCATAGTATCGTGTCTGGCGAGATCGGTACAGTGCCTGGTCTGAGCAGATCCACATCCATAGTTTCGATATTGCATGAATATATTAACAAGTAATTAATTTAATTTTGTGTTTTAAACATTCGCGTAAAAACTTTAATATTGTACATGCACTTCTTCTTCTTCCGATCTATAGACACGCTACGGCTTACGGCGTTTTGACACTAAACGCTGATTGGTGCAAAACTGATAATAGAGATCCTGTGGAATACAGTTTCTGATAGGTTGAAATTCTAATTTTCCTGTTCTCTGTTCCATGTTCCTTTTAGAGCTGCGCACAATAGGAGAAATATTAGAAACAGATATTAAATATAAGAATTTTAACCTATCAGAACTGTGTACTGTGGAATGTGCGCTTTCTGACAGGTTAAAATTCTTATATTTAATATCTGTTCCTAATATTTCTCCTATTGTGCGTAGCCTGAAGCCCGTGTCACACTACGGACTGTGGACGCGGATCGGATTGAGAATGGCTGCGTTCAGCAGAGAAAGCAGCTTTGCAACTGTTGCAAAATTCTTTAATATGATTGGTCTTGCCTCATTAGATCTAAATGTATAAGCCGATGGTCGCGTTCAGCAGACTCAACTGTTGCGGAGCAGATCTGTGAGCGCTCGCTGCTATTGGATGATCTAAAAGAATGGGCGAGTTCAAGACGGCAAAGTGGCTAGGTACGCTTGCCGAGCGATTGAATATAATTGGTTATTACTTATAGATCCAACCAATCATACTCGATCGCTCGGCAAACGTACCTAGCCTCTTTGTCGTCTTGAAGTCGCCCAATATACCAATAACAGTGAACGCTCACGGATCCGCTCCGCAACGGTTGAGTCTGCTGAACGCAACCAATCATATTCAAGAATTTTACAACAGTTTGGCTGCGTTCCGTTTCAGACATATGCGCGTATTTTATATAGGATGCGTTCTACTTAACGTTCGCAACGCTCGCGAGTATCATTTTGTCCTTCTTGTAATCGAATATTAAATGAGGATGAAATGATAGACGCGATCGTTGCGAACTTTAAGTGGAACCATTGTGGATCGCGCATCGAAATTCAACCAATCACGACAAAGCAGCTCTATCTTGATGGCTGCGACCAATGAGCTTACAGCTCCTAACATGTTCATTGGTTACCGCGTCACATTTTGCCGTGCGGCAAGCGTTTCTACGTCCAGTGTGCTGGAGCCATTAATGGCTTCTACAGACGGAACATGGTAACACTTGCCGCGCGGCCAAGTTTCATTTAACGCTATACGATATAATATATCGATGTTTTAATGCTTAAAAAAGCAGCAGAGGCATTAAGAAAATTGTATTGATAAAAAGTCACTTGAATAAAATTCTGATAATTAAAATTCATGATTCTCAATGAACATGTTGCTTTTGTAATCCTCCATTTTTGAGAAAACAACATTCCAAACAGGTAAAAGAATAAAAGGAAGAAGAAAAGGGGAAAAAAATGTTAAATTAAAAAATAATTTAAAATAAAATAATGCAATAATCCAAAATTATATGTTGAGACTACAATGTACATTTTCTACATCAATTTTATTTTATATATTTTGTCTATGTAATTATAAATCAATACATTTTTCAATTAGAATATCATTAGAGAATAAATTCTACTTTTACTTTCTAATCTGTTTAAATATTATATTCCCATTTTATATAAACATGTAAATAATCTTATACCCAAGACTGCATATTTTTTTATAACTTTTGTATTCATTAAAGTAATATTTTTTCAATAATATGTACCTTGATATGTACAAAAATCTAAAATTTCTTTATTGTACCATTATAATCTCACTGAATTTTTAATTGATAGTGGAATGAATACGAGAAAAACTCTTTCTATATTTTTAATGACCAAATACTAAAAAGTTTACTAAAGTATATGTAATAATAATTATTCAATTGTAAAATGTGATGACTATTCAATTTACTAAAATAAACTAAGTTTTATGTTTACTATTTAAAGTTTACAAGCAAGATACATTAAAAATATATAAATGTTAAAATATACTTTACATTTTGTGTAATGTCATATAATTTTATAATTAAACTTATAGTTTGTTTTTTTAAAAGAATATTTAAGTCAAATCTGTCACAATTACTTTACAAAAATTCTTCGCACCAATCAGTGAGACACTGATAACAATCTGTAGACTGTTTTGCATTTGCTGAACAAGCATCCTTCATCCACTCTTGAAACAATTCCTTATTCTTCTTTAATACTAAGTACTGTCCCAGGACCACATATGCCTATACAATAAAATTCACAATTATTAATTCATATTCAAAAAGACTCATAAAAAGAATCAAATAATTATTATCATTTTTTACAGCAATAATTTTATATCTACATACAGATTATTATTAATGTAGAGGGAAACTTTTAATTATAATATAAACTACTCAAATTTTAGCCAAATTTTTATTAAATTAATTAGTTTGACTAACAGAATTGTTAATAGCAAAAGTATCAATCATCTAATTTATAATATAACAAAACATTATTATTTGATAAGATATGATTAAATCAGAATTTGTTTACAAGCCATGTTAAGAGTAACTTAGATATATTCAACTAAAATTATAAATATAAAAAAATATTTACCTTATCAAAGCCTGCAGACTCTAATCTTTTTCCTAGCACCTCTCCGACACCAGCTAGTTCAGTTACAGGCTTATCCCCCATCGGCTCAGCCACGAAGTTCCTGTGCTTCTGTGATGTAGTCATTTTAATCTGTATAAAAGCAAAAACTTTTATTTTCTTTTCTAATATATCATAAAAACAAGACTTATTTATATATTAAGAAAAGCGTTTAGTTTTTGTAAATAAGAAACTAAATTTTTGCAAATTTATTATTAATTATATACTGTTTTAGCATTATAACCTTAAAGTAATAAGCACAAAATTGTTTAACTGCAGGTACTCTTCGATAAAATATAATTTACGAAAGTATTTTATACAAAATTCGTAGACAAACAGCAACAAAAATAAAGAAAGAGATACAAACACAATAGATAAACTTAAACTAATAACAAAAAATATCAAAACAGATAAAAGAACGACGATCACCTGCAAATCCTGCGATAGTTCGTGAGATTTTTCCCGATTTTCAACTGCGACCGTCACAACGCGAAGCAAGTTTTAGGGATGCCAAAAATTCAAAATTTGAACGTACAGCACCGCTTTACACAAATGAAATGCAATATTCCTATTTTGTTTGAACTTTGTTTTGGATGGCGTTGGTTTGGTTGTCACAAGTTCAACAACATCAAAAATCGATTGAGTTCTATGACTCATGGTCCTATTCTTATTCATCGAACGTGGAACAAATATATAAATAGAACGGGACATCAATTGTTTGATTTGACTTCGTGGGGTCACGTGGGTGATGATGATGATGAATAGGTTACGCGCTAGGCAACACTGTGAAAAATTCTTCAATATGATTGGTTTATACATTTAGATCTATAAAGAACCAAAGGCAAACACCAATCGTATTAAACAATGGACGAGTTCAAAGATGGTAAAACGGCTAGGTACGCTTGCCGAGCGATTGAATATGATTGGTTGGATCTATAAGTAATAACCAATTACATTTATTCGCTCGGCGAGCAAGCTAGCCGCTTTGCCAACATAAACGTACTCACTTTTATACTGTACTTTTACATTTTTACAACAGTTAAAAGCTGCTTTCTTTGCTAAACGAGGCTGGGTCCACAACCTTGCTTTAAGAGGCCGTAAGCCGTAAGAAATTGACCAATCAGTTGAATGCGAGAAAAATAATTTTTTGTGATTGGTCAATTTCTTACGGCTTACGGCCTCTTAAAGCGAGGTTGTGGACCTAGCCTAATCAATACTAAGACCGTATTTTGGTTTAAAAATTCGGAACTTGACTATTAATGTAGAAATATATATATTTGTAAAAATAAAACTTGCGTACTTTTGCGGATGAGTTAAAGATGAGTAAAAAAAATTTTCCAAAAATGTATATTGATTTCCGCCAAAAAAAATATTTTAACAAAAAACGGCTGTGTTCAGTAGAAAAAACAGTTTTGCAGCTATTGCAGAATTCAATATGATTGATTTATTATACATTTAGTGAGGAATTAATGCAAGGGCAAAACTGAACGCAACTAATTGAGAAATCAGTCAATCAGAAAGCAATATTTGAAAAATGTCCTTTCCAAAATTAGCTGATTTTCTACGATTTGAAAATTTTCAAGTTAATTTTGATGGAATTAGGATAATGAATAAAACATATTAAATGTTATTTTTAACAAGTTTTAAACTTTAATAACTAAGGGCGACTTTAACTAAACTCGCATCAACTTGATCGGCGATTAATTCAAGGACTTGCTTAAAACAAAATTTTTAATTACATAATTTGTTATTTCCAATTAAATCGTTTTTTCATGTATTACAAAAAACTTAATTCTATCTATGTAAATTAGCACTAGTATATTATTTGATAAGTTAATTGATGTTTGATCAAAAAACACAAGAGAATTTGTGTATAATAATTCTTAATATATAGATAGAATAAATTTTTTGTTATTTAATGAAAAGTAAGATTAAATTAAGAACAACGAATTATATATAACTAAAGATCTTACATCAAAATTTGAATCCATCTCTGCTGGTTGAATCAGTCTCTAATTAAGTTAATTCGAGTCTAGTCAAAGTCACCCTAAGACCATATCTTTCTCCATAGTAATTGTAATGGAAGAATGCCATTTCTTCTCTGTAATGTTGGATGAAAAACATCAAAGTCTACTTTTTCTAAATTTTCTAAATAATTTTCCACACAAACTGTCGATAAAAATATCACATTAAGATCCTTTCCTGCTGTCTTTCTAAGCGATGTCGCCTAAAACCAAAAAAAAGTAGTGTTGTGTAAGTTAAAAATTTTTCTGATCTAAATGCGAAAACATGCAGTCGTAGACTTGGTGTTAATTAAATCTCGAGTTATGTTACTGAATTATTTATTGTACCATTTTAAGATGCTGCTTGGCGCAAGATGCAATTTCAAGTATAACGTCTTTAAATCCAGCACTCGATTGTCCCTGAAAGATGGATTCAGAGGAAACGCTGTGTTTGAGCAGAACATCCTGTGGCAATATCATGACTCGTTTCCGAGCATTATATGGCACGGAACGTATCAAGGTGACTAGACCATGTGCCTTGCCGAAATGGCTAGCTGCGTGATCAGCATTGACGCTTGCCGTGCCCTGTGCCTCTAGCAGCAAATAATAGATCGATGATGTGGTATAGTCACAATATTTTTCGAGCGATTCCAAATCCACGAATATCGAGCTGCTTAGCTTGCTCAAGCGAGCATCAATCAAGCGCTTGAAATAGCGTTTAGATAGCTTATGTCGCTGAAGGATCTGTAAGTACGAAAGGTCTCTAATTTTCAGCAACAGTCATGCAAACACATCTTAGATCAATGCGTTCTATTCATCTACCCTATGTAACTCCAACGCCACGGGACTTTTCGGAGGATTAGCATTATAAATTCCATTCAGAGCATCTGTCCAAAACTGTAATCGCATAGCACCTATCCTGTTATCGCTCACTTGATCCTCCACTTGTGCCACTTCGACATTAAATGCACGTATAGCAAACGCTGCTGATTTAATACTGTGCGGTAGTAATAGCGTGCATAGAAAGTTCTCATAATCGCTCTTTCTAGAAAAGGTAAATACGACTTTGAGTGGATTTTGCTGGAGTCTTTAATTGAGCCTTTGCTGCTTTCGTTCCACAAACTTGCACAATTACTTTGATATATCTTGCAAAAAATTTTATTTACTTAGTTTTATTCCATAGAAATAAAACTAAGCATATTCATATATATTCCTCAGAAATTAGAAATTTAAAAAAAACTATTATTTATAAAAAAAAACTAAAATTTATTAAAATATCTCCAGTCAACGCAATACTGCAATAGCTAGAAATTATACAATACTATAGTATTATATATATTATACATTAGAATAATATATTGTTACATTTATTATATAAACATGATAATTTAATATAATATAATTTTATCTATATTTGCATCTATATTTATCTATATTTTATCTATATAATATAATCTATATTTGCTTTAATTTAACAAAGCAAAGAGAAGTACCTAACCAGCTGCAAACAATACTCGGCCGGAGTTTGTTTTTGTTTTGTACTAGTCGTATTCATACGAATCATACATCGCAGCTGTGTTCGTACGTTTTTCTCAATAATTGATAATTTATTCATTTTTTTAGAAAAAAATGAAAATTGTTTTTATTGAATCTAACAAAAACGACTACACAATTATCTCAACGAAAATGCTAACGACATCGAGTATTAAAATTGTCTGTCTCATGACGTCAAATTTTAATATTTTTTTAATTATAATTCAGTATACAATTTTGAATGAAAACATTCATAATAAGAATAACCTATAAACTGACGTGTGTTCAAAATAATCAAGATCGCCAACGTATTTTCTTATAGATTCCTAGATCTGATGTCACAAACTAAACTAGGATATATCGAGCTTAAATGTTAGTGTCCCTGGGCGACCTTATCAGATCGACTTTAAGTCAACTTCACATTTTATTTATAGTAGAAGAAAATATGGCAAATTTGATAAAGTTATTAGGGTTGGATAAAGTTGCGACGTTATTCCGTGCTATACGCGATAATGGTGGTATTTTCGGTTCCTTAAAAACGTTGTACAGGTTATTAAGCAGTTATACATTATATTAATAATACAGCAAATGTTCAAAATACTATCACTTTGATTAATATTGTGTAACTCTGCTCATTATTTGACTCTGAGCTTTTGTAGCTTATTCAAACTTTATTGATGTATTATAACATTTCTACAAAAAAATATTTTGCAATATATAATATAATATTCTTACGGAACTGAATATAAATTTATTTCAGAGTGGATGAATTGAAGAGTGGTACCTTGATCGGAGAAGACCAGTTGGGCAATCGATACTATGAGAATAATATGCACTTTGTAGGTCAGTTATGAAGTATATTAATATGGTACAAGTAAAAATATTAAATGAATATAAGTATAAAAGTGTATGTACATATAATACTATGTCACTTCTATTAAGATATTTTCCAACAAAACATAGATGACACTGACTAAGTTTAATTTGACTGCTCAAGTAAGTTTCATTTTATTATTTATTACATATACAGAAGGAAGATAGAATGAAATTTATTTTAACATACGAGCATCCAAACTGAATACAGCCAATATAACATAGTGAATTATTGTATCTTTGTTTACTAATATTAAACACAGAAAAAATGACTATTATACTGTTGACGTTTTCCAGAGAGAATAATCTTCATCTTTGTTTAACATTGGCAATTAACAAAGATACAATGATTCATGTGTTTACAATGTGTCATCTGTTTCTTGCTGGAAAGTAATTTTAATTTTATATTTTTGAAAGTATATGATAGTATAAAATATAGTTAATATCATGTTTATTTAATATTCTTTATAGGCCGTAACAGATGGGTCATATATGCAGATAAAGTTGGAATGAATTATGATGGTTCACAAGTCTCACCTGAATGGTTCGGTTGGTTGCATTACAAGACAGATTTGCCACCATACAAAGATCCGTCTCGACCAAAGTATAAGTGGATGATGGATCCTCAACAAAATATGAGTGGCACAAATCAAGCTTACATGCCTTATAGCACCACAAGACCAAAGATTGAATCTTGGCAACCACCACAGTGATCTTTATTGGAACAGCAGTAAGACAAAAAGAGTAAAGTAGCTAGTTTATAACTTATAGTTACATAAAATATTCAATGTAAATAAAATTACTATCAAGAGATAAAAAGATTATAGATGTTTAAAGATAGTTTGTCCTTTTTTTCTATGTACAGTATGATAATGTAGTAATAAAATAAGATAACTTAGTAATCAAGCAATAACATTTAATTAATTTCCAATTATAGAACGTACAAGGAATAATAAAAGCATCTATTTTTATACATTCTTTTTAAATATTTATTTGGATTTTATTGGACTAGGCCAATATTGGACTATATCGATTGTTTTGCTGACGTCATTTCTTTTATACTATTCATACGTTGTTTCAAGTAGTTTGCCCGTTTTTTTACATTGTCCTGTACACTGAAGTTTTCATAAGAGATTGTTATGAGTTCGTATCCTCTGGCTTTTAATAATTGCGTATATAAATATAACGATCCTATGAGATCATTCTGTCCTATGCAATAATCGTGGTAATCGTGCACCATTATTCCTATTCTGAAATAGTTATACATGTTCGTTATTGATTTATATCTACATATTAAAGTTATTAACATAATTTTTTATCATTTAGAAATAAATAAAATGTTTCAAAATGTTTCCTAAATTATGGAATAATTTTCATTAAAGTAATATTAAAGTATAGCTTTTTTTATTAATAACATGTGCCATACCTTCGTACATTATTCGATTGTTCATTCCAATCTTCCACTTTCACTAACCTGTGTTCACTGTCTATGCGATATTCAGCATCTAAAAATTGTCAAGTACGATTTATTTATGAATAAATAAAACGCAGTACTTAACATTTCAAAATCATATTCTACGAAATTATACTGGTATTAATTTTTTTGTTAAAAAAACTTACCTAATAAAAAACCCATGTTTGTATCAAAATTTATTTTAAAATAAGATGAAGACGGTAATACTTCTGTTAATGTTTCCAATAATGCATTTATGTACATTTGTTTTTCCTTTGATCTAGTTATAGATACATTATTAAATTCGGAATCTTCCTTTAAAAAAGGTCCTGTGATTTAAAATAATATAAATATTGATAAATTATTAAAATATACTAAAATATATGTACATATTTAAATGTATACCTTTGTAATCCTTCAGAATAAACTGTGCAACAGCGTTGATGTTTAATAATTTTAATATCTTTGATATATTTAGTTCGTTAAAGGCTATAAAAGTTATAAAAAATTCATATTATTGATACAATATAAAATAAATCTTGGATATATTATTTAAATAGATACAAATTATTTATTTTCTCCACAAATACAGGGTCCAGCAGGAATTTTACATGTCGCGGTTCCACTGCATCTAAAATTACTAAGGACCAAACAATATCCAGCCATTCAATCCAAGTCGTTTGAAATGGGCTTGCATGTTCTGTAAATTTCTAATCACAAAATAAAAATATATATAAAATAAAATTTATTAATTAATTTTATCAAATGAAATTTTCTTACGTTTAAAGAGAAACTTCAAAGATTTAAAATAAAAATGGAAAACGTTGTTCTTTCAATATACCTCAAGAAACAGATTTGCTTTCTTAGATTTATACTGTAGAGCCGCAAATGTTTGTAGTATTGATGAATAATCCAGAAATTTATAATCCATTGATTTCATAAATAATGTGTCAGAAAATATGTCAAGTACATCCATATTTTTGTAACGTAGAAATCCTAATGATGTTATTATGGATTTGTTTATAGCAGCATTTTTGCTTCTTGGTACACACTCCAGTAAGTCAGATGCGATTTTTTCTAATAAAACCTATTGCATACATTACATATGTTACAAACCTGATCTTTTTTTTATATATGTATATATCCATATAAATATGATATGGGTACCTTATCTGGAAAATTAAGTATGGCCATGCTGTATAACAAAGTCGCACATTGGTTCAAATTTAATGCTATATTGTATTTAACAATATTGTATGACAACATCTTTAATAGTGGAGTATTTCTGTCTCTTTGTTCTCTCAATGATGTTATTACCTTTATCATATAAAAATACGTGAATACATATATATATGTTCAATATACATTGTACTAACTGCAATTATTGCAGATGTAAATATTGCAGGCATAGATTTTTATATAAAAATATATCAATATTTATACATGTTAAGATTGTACAAATATTATACTCACAGCAATCATTGCAGGTGTCGATAATTGGGAGTATTTAGACAGATTAGATAATTTTGTATTACTTGTCTCACCACTATTCTTAACTATCTTCCTGAGCTGAATAAATCGTTCATCAGCCTCAATGTCTAATGTCTGTGATTTTCCACTGTTTATCTGATTAGTTATGCTCGATATCAGTTTTAGAGCATTGCTTTTAGACAAGTTTGGTAATACTGCCAAGTCTAACAAGTCGTTTATAGATTTGGCAGCTTGAAATTGCTTGAAAAATACTGTGTTGTTCTCATTCAATCGTTTCTTCCTACCGTTTCTTTCTTCTGTCGTAGAAACTGTTTGAAAACTGTCCTTAGGTTGTTGCTCTTTTTCTTTTTGCAAGACGGCTTGTATTTTTGAGAAATTAGTATTGTTGTCTTCCTATACACAAAAAAAATCATATATAGTCTTTCTTGTCAAAAAAATGATGAATAAAACGTGAAAATACACGAGACTGTTATCAGATTAAGCTTGTTAAAAAGAAATTATTAGGTCGTTGTTAATTGTACTTTACATTCACAGGTGCGGCGGGTTGCTCGCCAGTGACCGCCGTACTGGAATTGCAGGCCACGAGAGCGGTGAAACGCCAGGACGAGCGAGGTGCGATCCTAGCAGTCGCAGTATACAGCATTGCACTGAACTGCAGCATTATCATTAATCTGTAAAATGGTTATTTATATAATTGTCGGCGATATCGGGGACATCTGCGATGACGGTTCAATCGTCGATTCATGACATTCGCACAAAGCAACAACGGCACAATTGCCCTGTACGACTTACGTTACAAGTGAGTGCAAGGATAAAAAGCGTTATCGTGAAAATAAACAATTATTATGAATTATCTCGGGTGCACCAGGTAGACATATTTAGGTTAGAGGACCACCATGCACTCGGTCATAAACGCAGAAAAGTTTAGAGGCGCAGTTACGACGTTACGAGTTACGATTGAAATCGCGTCAGACGCGCTCAGACGCGCTATCGTATTTTATTGGAATCTCTCGATCCTATCAATTCATTTAAAAAATTGAAGAGTAATAATAATAAAATTTATGTGTGACAAACAACTCGAGAATGTATACTCATATTTAAGGAAAATTAATTTAAGGAAAAAATTAAAATGAAATCTAAAAAAATATTATTCAGATATTCTATAAATCTTTTTTTCTTTATTAGGTATAATTTATGTAGATATTGTTTTTTTTTTTTATATTTATTACTATTTCTGGTATTTATGGAAAAAACGGCCGACCTCACCGATTTTAATGAAACTAGGCTCATTCGACGCGTTTTTGCACGAAACGAAAGAATCTGGCAGAAAAAAAGTGTCGCTCTGCCCTACGAACCGAGATATTAAGCGTTAAAGTTGACGACTATTCAGGTTAGGAAATCTGTCATACCGACTACATGTAGTGCTACGAGTATGCCTTCTTCGTGCTGTCTGACCTCGTGCGCATGCGCTTGGTATCGTTTGAGTCCAACAGGGCAGACCTCTGTCCGCCTCCCCCTCCCCCCCCTGCTGAGGGGCGCGCGACTTCTTAAATATATGATTTGTTAAAACAAAATAGAATAACAGACATTTAAAAACATAGATACATAAAAAAAAAAAAAAAAACATTCCATACTTATAATTTTATGAAAATATAATAAATTTATATTGCAGCCTCTGAAACATCTGTTTCATCCTGGAAGGTCTTCGGTGGATATAGTTCTGCAATTACACAGAAGAAACTCTGTAATCGCTCGTTATATTTATGAACACGTTTGAAAAGGTATTCAGCTAAATAACCCACTAAATGTTTACTACGTGTTCCATATCGTGGGATATTACTTCTAACTTCCCTCCAAACGCGTTCGATATGTTGAGTGTGGGCTCCTAAATAAGAAATAAAAATGATATATATGATTTTTGAAAGTTTGACATAACATTTTTTTCATTTTCTGTATATATTTCACAAGCAATGTATAATTTTATATTTAAAATGTATATTGTACCGGAGTCTGGATCAACAAAATTTATAGAGTGATTTACTGTCAGATGTTGGAAATTTTTACTGTTTAAATTCTTGTAAGACTTCCAACAATCTGACATTATTGTTTTCCCAGGTAAAATCCATTCTTCAATTACTTGAGTAAGAGTTTCTTCTGTGCGATCTGCAACAGGTACAAGAAATATTTTTTTTGTATCGCGTTCATATCCACCGAAGATCCATTTTCCATCGATAATTCGACCACGATTATATTTCCTTTTGCCAATTTTAGCTTCGTCAATTTCAACAATGCTATTTGGTCCTCCAAGTTTTGTTGAATTTTTTTTAGCCCAATAAACGCAAACCTATTTTTTGTCGACATAAATATTATTAATGTTTAATATGTTATTCATTATTGGAATTACCAACAGTATTTATACTAAACAATAATATACATTAATAAAATGAATATATTAAATGTATAACATCATACTTCTCGGCAAAAGGAAATCCAATCAACAACTGACTTGTCAGAAAGATCAAGTTCTGTGCACAAAAACTCTTGGCGCGGAGGTCTTAACATAATGAAATAAGCAGTTAATCTGCATATAGTTTCCAAGCTTAATTTTGATTCGGAAAACCATGTATCTACTTTAGCAGATGTCTTAAAATCACACTTCGTTTTTATTCTTTTTTTATGTTTATCTTTTTTGTAATGCACTTTATAACAGCGGAATAAAAGAGTATTTATGTTAATTATTAATTCACTATTGCACTTAGGACATTGTATTTCAGATATTATAATATTGGTTTCTATCAAAAACTTTATTAATCTTTTTCTATCGTAAGTCAGTGCTAAGAATTCGTGCAGCTTCATCTTAATACGATCTTTTAACAATTATAACAAAAGAAAATCTATTTCAGATTTCGTTACATTTTTCACTTACCAATCAGACAACTTAACGCATGCGCACAAAGTCAGAGAGCATGAAGAAGGCATATACTCGTAACACTACATGTAGTCGGTATGACAGATTTCTTAACCTGAATAGTCGTCAACTTTAACGCTTAATATCTCGGTTCGTAGGGCAGAGCGACACTTTTTTCTGCCAGATTCTTTCGTTTCGTGCAAAAACGCGTCGAATGAGCCTAGTTTCATTAAAATCGGTGAGATCGGCCGTTTTCTCCATAATTACCCTATTTCTTTATTATATTATTATCTGTGTGAAAAAACATTAACGATATCAAGAATTTTTATGGAGTTTATTTTCTACAATATTTTTATATTTGTAAAATGAAACAAATTTATTATAGTATTGTTTATTACTATTTTATTTTTCTAGTATCTATTATTTTTTTTCATTAAATATATAATTATATTATTAATATACAATTTTTTATTATAATTTTAATAATAAAATTAAATTTAATGTGTGTGTGTGTGTGATAATAACGCTTGCGCGCGTATTTTTAAAAGACGCAAATTTTATAAGAAAGAAAAAGATGCAACACACACATAAGAAAATACCTATTTAATTCATTATATTTTATAGTTAAACTTTTTGTATTTTTTATCTCTCTCTCTCTCTCTCTCTCTCTATTATATAATGAGAGAGAGAGGGGAGGGGAGAGCTGTAATAATCAAGAAGATAAGTATATTTACATTATTTTATTGTTAGAAGCCATATAACGTATGCGTTATAGTTATAACGCATGCGTTAAAAAATTTCAGATAGCCCTGCAGAAGTGCAGAGTATAACCACAGTATTGTGATATAACTCTGTCAGCTGTCTGGAACTCTGGAGCAGTCTGTTTGGATGGCTCGACAGAGGTGGACGTGTTCTTGTTTCGAACACTTTAGGATTTGATGATTATTTTATCATCTTTAATTTTTCAAAATTTCTACCGTATTTAATTCGTACATTGTGAAATACGACTGGCTACGTCAATCTCGAGTGCTAAAATCAAGGCCGTCCAAGTGAAGGAAAGAAATTATAGTATAGCGCGCAATAATAGGTGCCCAAGTTGCGAACGTAAACTGCGGCAAGTGTATCAGAACTATCAAAACTATCAAAACGATCAACTATGCATTCCGCGAAGACGCCACGTATTCTCTCGATCCAGAGTCATGTAGTGTCAGGCTACGTCGGCAATAAGAGCGCTACTTTTCCGTTGCAGGTGAATCCTGTGGAGGCGAATTTTATGATTGTCCTTTCATCGAATTCCCATCGAATTCCTCTCCTTCAATCCATGAATTATTAATTGTAAACCAGCGAATCCCATAACAATTCGATATTAGTAAATTATTTTTTCTTGGATGTTTGTGAAGGCATGTAAAGTATTACAGATAAGATACGAATATTTTAGAGATAAAGTGCTTACATCACAAATCAAAAATTCCAAATGCAATGACGGATGTTATACATTGATATTTGCTTATTAATTTAGATATTAATTTGAAATCTTTTTATAATTCATTCCAATTTAAGTATAATTCTTGCTGATGTCAATTTGTTTCTACTATCTAGACTAGTTTTCCTAAATTTTTAGAATAAGTAACAATTGAACAGATAATATTACACATGCACACATATTTGAAACATGAGTAAATTAAAGAATACTTATATATTAAGTAAATAATTTTTTATATAATAAATTTATTATATATTAATAATATATTAAAAAAGTTTAAAATTTATATATATATATTTATATTAATATTTATTAATATTAATAAGAGATTAATTTGTTTATTTTTTCTATTAGTTATTAGGCTTCGAAGTCGATGCAATAAACTCTGTACAGTTGTCTAATCATACTGGTTACAAAGCATTTAAGGGTCAAGTACTCAATGATAAAGATCTAGGTAAGATCGTAGGAAATCGATGACGCAATGATGTTTATTTAGCAACAAGATGTATCTATATATAATTCCAATATAATTACTATTTTAGAGGATCTAGTTGATGGTTTAGCGCAAAATGACTTAGATAATTATACACATTTGTTAACTGGATATATCGGTTCTGCTTCCTTCTTGAAAAGAGTGGCATTACTAGTCACAACTTTGAAAGACAAAAATCCAAATCTTACATATGGTGTATTATCTTTTAATAATATAATATTTTTATGTAACCAATTTTTTTATGAATTATATTTATTACATTTTCGATATTAGTTTGTGATCCTGTTATGGGCGACAATGGCAAGATGTATGTCCCAGAAGTATTGAAAGAAATTTACAAAGAGGAGATAATACCATTAGCGGATGTAGTAACTCCAAACCAGTTTGAATTAGAGTATGTGTGATACTATAAAAAAACATTCAAAATGATATTAATTTCCATTTATATATACTGATGATTGATCAATATTGTAAGAGTATAAATTGTCAATAACTTTAAGAAATTAATATCTATTCCTTTAATGATCAATTGATATATATAATTATATATATATATATATTACTTTTATTAATTTTTCTCAGATTACTTACAGATGATAAAGTTACTAATATGAGTGAATTACAAAATGCTATTAAAAAATTACATCAACATGGACCAAAAACTGTAGCTATATCGTCAACTGATCTTAGTAACAAACTGACGGCAGTAGTGAGCTCGGCGAAAGGTGGCTTATACATTACAAGATAAAACAAACTTTGAAATGATTATAGATCTGCATTGTCTTTCTCTATTTCAGATAATTTATTAATAAAGGTAGATATCCCTAAAATACCAGCAACTTTCACGGGTTCGGGAGACCTCTTTGCCGCATTATTTCTTGCTCACGTATACTTACAAAGTGACATAAAAGTCACCATGGAAAAAACTATTAATTCTCTGTATAGCGTGCTGCTTAATACGTATGAATATTCTAAAGGTAAATATTTTTATAACACAAAAAAGAATACTTCAGTATTGTTCCTAACACAAACAATTATTTACAGAGTACATAGATACCGAAGCACAATCAGCCAGGAAAATCGAATTACGACTGATACAAAGTAAAAACAGTATCGAAAATCCAAACATTCGTCTATTTGCAGAATTTTTATAACACAAAATAATATAGAAAATAGTTAAAAGAAATGCTTAAATGTTTTCCATATATAATATTGTTTTTTAATTTTTGAGATTACATTACATATAGTTTATAGAAAGTTTTATCTTAATAATTGAACACATGTTAAGATGCGTATTAATAAGATATATATTATTAAGATATTATTAAGATATATATCTTATATTTATTAAGATATATATCTTAACATGTGTGTGCATGTATATGTATAGATATATACACACACATAATATAATAACAGCCGATTCATAATTGATGGAGTCAGAGTTTCGGTTTGTAAGACGTTAATTGAAGAATTGAAGGTAGTGAATGAAAGTTTGTTGCGAACGTAACCCGTGTTGGGAATCCATTTATCAATTGTTTATAATATATTAACAAATCATTTGTTAAGCATTTATAATAACGTGGAGATTTCTCCAATAATCAAACCCCAAAGACCACAATGTAAGTCTTCCAAAAAAAAAATATATATATATACACAACTATTTTATTTATGTATATAATCTGCATTAGGTTCTTATATAACAGGTACAATTTTTATTTTAGAGATATTTAAATTAATAAATAAAAAAATAACATCTTGAAAACTTTGTATCCATGTGTGTATCAAACCAAATTCTCTCTCAACCTGTTATTATACTTATTGAAACCTTTTTAAAATTGGAACGGTTTTTCTTTATTTACATTTTTATTACATTTATATTGCTTTAATATGTACAATCAACCACAATAGTCCTTTAGAGATAAACGAGGTACTACGTTCATGGATTGCAGTTCTTGGAATAATAATTTACAAGCATAAGGCATCGTTATCGTAGAAACAGAAGAGCTGGATTTACACCTCTGGCACCAACCATTGTATCCTATCAAACCGCATTTGTTACAAATATCGACCTTAAAAGCATCGCTCGATATCATAAGCCTCTCTACTAATAACATGCTAGCTCCGTAACCGATCAGGCAATCCCGCTCCATTTCACCTAGTCGTAAACCACCTTCTCTAGAACGTCCTTCTGTCGGTTGACGTGTGAGGACTACCCTTGGACCTCTGGCACGAGCGTGCATCTTGTCTTGCACCATATGTTTCAATTTTTGGTAATAAACCTACGAATCACGTTTTTAACGTTACACAAAAAACATCAAATAATATTCATTCACTTATTTACATTAGAAATAAACTGATTATTTTTTTAAGTATAAATTCTTGTTTTATTGAAAAATAAAAGAATCTGTCACTATTTTAATTAGATGGATGGAATTTTTATAAAAAATATATGTTTTACAATTATATTTACTATTCATATAAAACAAAAATTATATAAATTATTAACTTATTTCCTACTTTTTAAAAATATTTTTTTTTTTTAATAAGAAACTGCAATCAATTTAAATGACCATCTCTATTTATCTACAAGAAAAACTTACTGGTCCAGAGTAGATGTATCCTATCAATGGTTTCCCAGTCATGCCATTATAGAAGAAATCTTTACCTAAATAATTATAACCATTTTTCGCCAATTCTTCGCGGATATCCTCCACTTTGGCGCCACCAAACGCTACCAAATAAAAATAATAAGAGATTAAACATAGGATTAAACATCAAATAGATCAGTCATTTCCTTTTAAGATATACCTGTTGCATCTTGAAATTTTCCGTTCACAACGCCAGCCTTCCCTGCAAGTACTTCTATTAGTTTACCAACAGTCATTCTAGAAGGAAAGCCATGCGGATTCATAATTATGTCGGGACACATTCCGTAGTCATTAAACGGCATGTCTTCTTGTTCTACAATTAAACCTAAATAAACAATTATCAGATATTAATAAATAAGTTTCTCTTGAGGCATCGGATGGCTCGGTGCTCGGGCCATGCTTCGCGAACTAGCAATCCATGAATTCGGATTTGATCCCATCGGTAACTCACATACACAGGATTTTTCCGGTGTTAACAAAAATATGGAGAACATCGCTTCATCTATAAAATTATAAACTAAATACTAGTGAGTCTCTGTTTAAGCCTTTAAGAGGCAATATTAAGGACCCCAGTTAATATCGCTATCCTGATTAAAATGTGGTTAAAAATATGTAAAGGCTTAAAGGATATAAAGGAATAATAAAAAAAAAAAGAACTTTGTATAGAAGAAGAAAAAGAATATGTTTCTCTTGTATTTACACAATACGAAAATATTGCGCGCATGTAAAATATTGTACCTATAACGCCCTTCTGTCCATGGCGACTGCTGAATTTATCGCCGATCTCTGGTCTTCGAGTTTGCCTTAGTAACAGTTTTGTTAAAAAGGAATCGTCTGCGTTACTCGTTACAATGACTTTTTCCACATATGCTGGAACCAAACCTTTGAATGAGACTTCTGCGCTACGATATTCCACTGCTTGTGTTTGTGCAGTGGCAGAACTGACCGGACCGATATTTTCACTCGGCGTTGGCACTGACTTGTTTATCATGATCTGCATGTATAACGTAATATTAAAGTACAGTGTAATAGAATATCTAACATCGTTCAAAAGAAAAGAAGGCGCTACTTACAGTTTTATTTTCTACCATCTCACCAGGTAAAACAATTCCATCAACGTCAAGGACTTCATGCTTCGTTATAGGTTTCTTAGTATTAACATCTAGCATTGGTCCCATGATTGTGTCTTGCGTTTGATTAGAATATTTTTTTAATGTACATTTCATATTTCGATACACTAGGCATCTTCCATATCCTCTATCGACGGAAGCTTTATTAAAAATTAATGCATCCTCGATATCGTACCCACTATACGACATTACAGCAACAATTGCATTTTCACCGGCTGGCAATTTATCGTAATTGATTAACTCGATCGCTCGAGTTTTTACTATAGGCATTTGCGGATATACCAGATTGTACATCACTGTGTCAATGCGATTACGTTGATTGTATCCTATGATCCCCATGGCCTGTTTACCCATAGCGCATTGATAAGTGTTTCTCGGACTCTGATTATGATGTGGGTATGGTATCAATCCCGCGCACACTCCCAGCACCGTGAATTCCGCAATTTCCAGATGCGTTGTGTTATCATTGATTTCTGATTCCGTACATGCGATTAAACTATCATTTTCTTCATTCACATCTAAATATTCGATTAATCCTAAAAAAAAAACACAGTAAATAACAGAATATGTACCTGGAAAAGAATGTATATATGTAAATGCAACAAAATTAGTTTGAATTATTTACCATCATAAAGGAAGTCTTCAAATGATAAGATATTTCGTTCAAGATCCTCTATGTGCTTTTGTTTAACAAGAGATTTTCCATTCTTAACGATGATGCATGGTCTGCACAATCGTCCACCGTCAGAACTGATTTGAATGCAATTATGTCGATGTTGCGTATATATCGATACAAAACTGTTGATAAATCCTTTCCTGCGCAACAATCTGAACTGACGCACCAGTCTCTTATGATTCTGTACAATACCTACCAAGATACCGTTCACAAAAACCAAATATACATCTTTGTTAGTTAATTCTTCTCCAGCAAAAGTATGAATGTTCTCCACACCAAGACTAAGCAGCAGTTTTATTATTGGTTCTTCTGGTACTTCCGTAGTGATATGAGCCATCAAAGCCAGATTCTTCACTAAACCACAAGCTTCTCCTTCAGGCGTGTCATTCGGGCACAACATGCCCCATTGCGAGCCCTGTAATGACCGCGGACCGGAGACTTTCCTGGTCTTCTCGAACTGAGAATGGACTCGCGTCATCATACCAAGTGCCGAAATGTAAGAGAGCCGTGATAGCACCTGTGTCACGCCATGCCTCTCCATTCTAAATCTCTTGATTGTCCAATTACCTGATGATATAGCGAAAGCCAATCCATTAGTAATGAGATCGTGTCTCATGTGAGTAACTATGTCAAATGGGCCTGCTCTTGTCTTGGGAATATTTTTATTGGCAATTTGCCTGAGTTCCCAATTAAATCTTTTAAACAAATCTTCGAACATCAGAGCGAGAAGAGAGCCAGCCAGTTCCAGACGTTTATTACCATAATAATCTTTGTCGTCAATCAGACTACTATCAGATTGTGCATTTATAACTCTTCTGATCATTAAGGCAAGATACAGTGCCTTTGGTCTGAAATTGAAGCCAACAACAGGTACATGAGACAATATATTCGTCGCTAATACATCTTTCATTTCATCAGTGATAGATTTTGGAACATGGAATCTCGTCTGTTTCCGGTTATCATTGAGGTATTTCAATGCTTGATTCTGTGAAAAGATGCCTAGTTCTTGACAATCTTCTAGACTAGCTGCAAATTTGCTCAAATGTGTTTCTTGCGTTCCTATCATTTGCATGATCTCTAAGTCGCTTATTATGCCCATAGCTTTGAAAATAACCGTAATCAGTATGTCATCTTGGAACATATTATGTCGTATGTAATATCTTCCAGCTTTCCCAACAACATTTGTTTTGGTCTTTTTGTCATGGGTAAAACTGTTGCATGATGCAACAATAAAGTTTTTGTTATCTACTTCTAAAATAATTCTATTCCTAACCATTTGTTCTTGTATTAATATAACTTTTTCTTGGCCATTTATGATGAAATAACCACCAGGATCATGTGGACATTCATTCATTTTGGCTAACTCAGCTTCAGATTTTTTAGTTAACACACAATTAGAACTGCGCAACATTATTGGCATCCTATAAACATTCACAATTGTTATAATACTTAAACATTTCTTATTAATAATTTATATATTTCTTACTATATAGTCTATTCTTATTGTTCTTACTTTCCAATAACCAAATTTTGCCTTATTATCCGCTTATTATTTCTTACATATTCAATATCTACTATAATGGAGGCAGAGTAATTAAAATCTCTTAAGCGGCATTCATGTGGTGTAGTTGGTGTAGTCCTAATAGAATTGGATGATTCCTGAACTTCAGGCAAACCTACTTTTATATTTAAGTATCTAGAATATAAGAAAAACATCTGTTAAGAGTCTGACATTCCTGATAATTGCATCTTTTGAAAGTATAATAGATGTCATTGCTCTTACTTTAAATAAAAATGTTGATCTTCATCACTTTGAACCTTTTCATTTGCTTTAACAATGTTTTTGATCTCTTCATTAATGAAGTAGTTGTAAGAATCTATATGCTGATTAACTAAACCTTTATTCCGAAGAAATGCTGCTACTAATTTCCATTTATCCTGATAATATATAAAATTAACAATAATTTAATAATTAATATTAGTTATATTACGTATAAGTCTATAATATGTAAGAAAAATGTTTAAAAAATTATAATTTTAACAACTACATAGTACATGTATTTACATCATTAATTTTTCTAAGTACACACATCGTTTCGATTTTGAAAATTATATTTCTTAAAATTGATACTTTTTGGCTATAATAACATCATTCACGTGGTTGTTCGAAGTATACATCTACACCCAGCCATCGAAGTTCGATCAACCTGGAACCTTTCAACAAAAGGCACATAGTGAAATGACCGCCGACCGGTGAATTGTTGCACCTAGTGGTTTGCTTATAGGCTTGTTCTTTTTGCCTGCACTATCTGCACCAGTTCAGACAGTGCAATAAGTTAAGCGGGGAGCACAGACTTTTGCATAATGCATAAAGCATGTGCATAAGGAATTTCATTGGCCCATTTTCTTATGCATGAGTCAATGGACCAATAAAATTCTTTATGTATATGTATTATGCGTTATGTAAAAGTCTGTGCTCCCCGCTTTAGCCATTTTTAGTACCATTGAATGTCCAGTCACGCCAATCAAGACGCAGAACATCAGTTGCGCTTCTAATAGCGTTTTCCAACGCTATAAACATGACGACGTCGTAGACGCAGGCGCCCGGTGTCCGTTCGGGCTACGCCATTTTTGTGATTGCATCATATTTTTAGAAAGCGCTGCCGGCTTTGACTGTACACAGTTTCATATTTTATACGGTTTTCAACTAAAACGTGACCTGGCCGTATCGTCCTATTAAATTCTCTGGAGACGGGAGCCATTAATTAAATAAGAAGAAGATATTCAATTACTCGTCCAATATATTAGCGGATCAATACCAAATATATTAGGACTTGCGCGCACACAGCCATAGGAATCGAGCAAGAAGATAAACAGAAGGTTTTACGAATGCTTGAGTTATTGAAATTATTATTCTCTATTTGCTAAAAAAAAAAGCGAGAAGGATATACGTAGAGAGTGGTTGCTTTCCATCTACGACACATCAATCACCTCATCTTTATTTAACATAAGCGAACGACAAGGATGCAACTAACGCCGTGTAAGGGTCAGAACACGTTACTTCTGTATCTCTTGTTGGATAATAATGTTAGGCGTAGATATCTTATGAACATATTTCTTATATCGTACATATATTTAAAATGTAAATTCTCTAAAGCGCCAATCGAAGAAAAAAAAAAAAAATTGGCATCTATAAACAAGAGTATCCGACTATGGAATTCTGCTGTGTTGAATTATGCTATGGCGTGTCGCGTGTCGGTGTTGGAAACCACCGCGTTCGACACTGTCGATTTGTGTCGCCGAAAACCCTTGATGGAAAGCACCCAGTAATAAGAAACGATGTGACGTAGAAAGTAAAATTGGTTAATTAAGTATACGTTAGAGAATAATAATAAACAGTGTAACGTAGAAAGTAAAATTGGTTAAATAAGTATACGTTAGAGAATAATAATAAACGGTGTGACGTAGAATTAGTTTTGCGTGGATTAGATTCTGTCGTATTTCACAGAGATATTTGGTGACCCCGACGTAATCGCACTTTAAAAAGATCCAGAAGAATCGGAATCAGGGGAACCCCGATCATAAAAAGGCAATGAAAGAAAACGAAAGTAGAGATTGTGCGATCGACCGTTCACCACCGCATGATCCCGACAGCACAGTACCATCAATATCCGGTTCTGTGGTACCAGAAGAGGTCGGTGCCTTAGTAGCGAGTGTCTTGAACAGTGGAAAAATTAAGTCTCATGAAACCAATATTGTATACATGGTAAAACCACCAAAGTTTTGCAAGGTCAACCCCTCGCTATGGTTCAAGGAAGTTGAGGCAATTTTTGCTAATTTTGGAATCAGAAACGATGAGACGAAATTTCGATATGTAGTGATTCATCTCGATCAATCTGTCCTGCTTCTCATTTTAGATATGCTTGAAAAACCACCGGAGCGAAACAAGTACAAGAGTCTAAAAAATCGTATTATTTTATTGTTTGATGAATCGGATGAGTCTAAGTTAAAACGTCTAATAGGCGTAGACAGACACGATAAAGAAAAGCCTTCCGAATTTCTAGAACGTCTAAAAAGTATAGCAGCGGGGAAATTTGATGAAGCCGTGTTGAAGACAGTGTTCCTAGAACAGATGCCGGAGAACATACAAAACGTTCTTGAAATCAGTGGGCTCACCGACCTGTCGGAACTCGTGCAAAGAGCTGATAATATGGTAGAAGTAACACAAAGAATACTTGGAGTTTATTACGTTGACGAACCCATAGAAAATGATATAACCTCTACTTTCGATGAGCACTTAAAGGTTGTGGAAGAAATGATTGACTACCTAGCACGCGATATGAAACAAACGGAACTTTGTAGGCGATCAAGATATCGCAAATGCTGTAAATTTTTCAAAAAAGCTAAGGAGAAGCTCAAGATATATTAAAATTATCATCTCAAATTAAGGAGGTCACCGACGACACGTCCATAAAAAATCACCCGTTGGTCATAGATAAAAAAACGAACACTTGATTCTTGGTGGACACAGGTGCGGATATCTCAGTGCTGCTCAGATATTTGACAGAAACTAAAGTCAAACCATCTGATTTAAGATTATTTGCAGCAAATAATAGCTACGTACATTTTTGGAATGAAGCTAGTCACGTTGGACTTGGGCCTTTGTAGAAAGTTTATGTGGACATTCATCCTAACTAATATCTCTTCTATAATAATAGGCTAATTTCCTGTACCATTTCGGCCTGTTACCAGATTTGGGAGGTTGGAGATACATTGATAGCACAACGAATTTACGAGTTGATGGAGAAATCATACGGACTCCTATGGTATCACTTTCAACAGTAAGACATAATAAACAATTCCATGTACTTTTCAGAGAGTTTATCGATATCACTCAGATTTCAATAGGAGTTAAAGAAGCTGAAACATATATGTTTTAGCATTATGTTTTAACTAAAGGATTCCTAATGGCAGAACTCGGTTAACAATTAATGTTATAAAGCAACACTCTGCATCTTAATCAAAAGAAATCAGGCAAATGGAAAATGTATAGTAATTATCACAGATTAAATAAATGCATAGTATCAAACAGATATTCAGTACCACATATTCAAGACTTCACGTACAGCAGATTCATCAAGTGCACAGTAGTAGACAGACATCCAGTATCATATATAAAAAATTTCATGCACAGCAGATTAAATAAGTATATATTAGTAGCCAGATATCCAGTACCACTTATCCAAGACTTCATGCACAGTAGATTAAATAAGTGCACAGTAGCAGACAGATATGCAGTACCACATATACAAGATTTCACGCACCACAAATTAAATATAAGTGTAAGATAGCAGATAGATATCCAGTCCCATATACCCAAGATTTCATGCGTAGACTTCAAGGATGCAAGGTTTTTGGACACCGGATCTGACCCGTGCATATCACCAGATTCCAGTGCCAAAGGACCGTGAAAAGACAACTGTAATCATCCCCTTTGTACTCTTTAAATTCAATGTCATGACGTATTTAGATTATACAACACTGCACAAACGTTCCAAAGATTTACGGTCCTTAGAGGTCTAAACTTTTGTTTTTGTTTATTGATGACACAAACATTGCTTCAAAATCACCATGCTTAACACGAAATACATTTTTGCACTTGAATGTTTACGAAAGTTTGTACTATTCATCAACTCATGCACCTTTTTAGCTGAAAAAGTTCAATACTTGAGTATTGAATTTCTTCAGTTCTGATCTGATAATGCTTTGGTGAATTCAAAAAGGAACTAAGCCACTAACACAGCGGGTAGCAACAATTTTCGAATACAAGAAACTAAAGACGATCTTTAAGCTATATAATTTCTAGGTATTATTATTTATTTTTACAGATGATTCATTAAAAACGCAGCAACAACTCAAGCGTCAACTCATACCTAAAGGTCGCGAGAAAAAAAGGATGAACATCCCATCGTATGGAACCTTCTCCACCAAACAAGCTTACGACGAATGCAAGCAATAACTCGCAGAAGCATTTTTTGCTTAAGTAAGCATAAGTTGCTAAGTAATTTAAGCTACTTAAGGAGGAATAGGGTAACGAACCAATGGCTGCGTTCAGCAGAAAAAATTCATGAATATGATTGGTTTATACATTTAGATTGAATGAGGAAATAAGAGCAAGACCAATCACATTAAAGAATTTTACACAGCTGCTTTTTTTTTTGTTGAACGCAGCCTTATGTTAGCGTCAGTCATGGTGAGCTTACGGCTAATAGGAATCAAGCACGGAGAGAGTATACAGAAAAGAAGTTTAAAAAATGGTTTAAAAAAAGAACAGGGAACCTCATTACACACTGTTTATTCCACAGTATATGATTTCTGATAGGTTGAAATTCTTATTCTCTGTTTCCTGTTCGTTTTTCTACGCAGCCCCCTTATTCTTCGCTAATGTTAAAATTGATGTACGTTAGAGATATCTATATAAATAATAAACAATGTAACGTAGAAAAAATATTCAGAGAGATGTATGTTAAAAAATAATAAATGTAATAATAAACGGTGTAACATAGAATTAGTTCTTTGCGAATTAAATTCCCTGTTATATTTCAATGTTTGAGCGTTTGATGCTTGTAGTTGAAAGTGGTTGAAAGTATTGAAACTGTTCAAACTATAAAATTTCAGCCACTGGAATAAGAACAGATCTGATCTGTATTTCTTGAAACGAAGCAGAGATTAGATTCTCGATTATATAAAATAGAAACTATCAGTTTTATCTTTTTTTTTGTTTCCTATTATGGTTTTCCGATCCACAAATGTGAATTATAGTACCAAAGTTATTTTTAGGTCAAATGACCCACTGAAATTGTCTCCTTGTGAAAAAAATACATTTTTTTTTGTACTCGAAGCATCATCTTCTCGTTGTTCTGATGTAAAAATTAACCGCTCTGAATTTCTGTCGATGCGATAACGTTGCGTATTATAATAACGGTATAATAACAAGCGTATTATAACCCAATATACGAACGTTATCACAATATACATATTAATTGGTTGTTTACCCTTCCCCTCTGCGCTTATCAATATACATACAGTGACACGCGTCAGCATTTTTGTAAGTTCTCGCAGTGGCGAACTCTAGTAGTCCACTGTATGACGACTTGACAAGTGTGTCTTATTGATTTTTTTATTATCTATCAAAATTATTTAACTGTAATAACACGTGTATAATTGTTCCTTTTTATTCTATTATTTAATTATTACAAATAATATATAAAATTCTCGCGCGTATCCAGTGTTTTCCTTTCAAAAAGGAGTGAAGTATATATTTCTAAATCGCTATCGCTCGAAGATATTTCTAATATCGAAGAGGTACAATGTTCTTGGCGCGATATTCCATTGTTTCGCGACACCTCGCGAATCGCGCCGGTAAAATTGGCGCGTGCCACGCGTCTAATTATTGCAAGATCGATGAAAGCATCTTTGGATTAAGCGACGAACAGAAAGAGGTTAGTAACTAGATGATCGATCATGCTGTTATGGGTCGATACTTCTGTTGATGACAACAGCGGAATTTTAAACCAATTACACAGATTGTATTAGGCTGCACTATCGGTATAGTGCTATTGCGAAATGCCAGATCTTGCATCTCGAATTGCGCCATAATATACAACATTGCATATTATAATACATTCTATTGCAATATGCAGAAATTGGGGAGTAAGCTTGATATAAGAAGTAAGAATAAGAAATTGATCGATCACAATCGATATTATTGTTTCACATTTATTTGTAATTATTCAATTTCTTGCTTTTACTTGCATCAATTTATTTTGCAATCTGTATTATAGTGACGTAAGTGCATCCATCTCTGCGCAGTGTACAAATTCGATCAAAACAATAGTTTGCACAATGAATATGTATACCTATGTAAAATTGTAAACGTTCGTATAAATTACATTTTTTTGCGCACTTTACGTAATTGTATTTCATAAGCATTTATCTACGTAATTATTGTAAAATTGGTTAGTATATAATATAACTAGTTGTAATTATATAGTTAAAAGTTAATTAAAGTTAAAAAATTAATTATAACTTCTAATTTTTCAGTTAATTTTAAATAAAATAATTTTTAACTCCAAATTTACGTTGTAAAAAAAAATATGTATATACAATATATAATAATAGTCGCGTTTAGCAGAACTTATAAATGTTGGGAGTTTTCTTCGCGCTGATTGGATTATACTTTTAGATCTCGGAGGAATAATCCTATCTCTCAGCAAAGAAAACTTCCAACAGTTGTAAAATAAACATTCTGCTGAAGGCGGCTATTGAATAGACAAAATATCTTTAAATTCTTGTTCATATCTAATTTTGTTTATATCTAAAATTAGACAATTAGACGCAATGTCCAACGATAATCGTAATAAACGTGATGCCGTTACTATCCTATAAATTCTTTGATATTTTATTACATCTTTTTCTTTCTTATGGTGAAATAAATATCCCGTAATATTTATAACAATCGCCATTCTTTTTCAGCTTCGTTCGCTCGTTTTCAATTTTGCACAAAAGGAGTTGGCGCCTAAAGCCACCGAAATCGACAAAAAAAATCATTTCGATGAATTGAGGGTAAGCTTCTTCTATATGCACCGATTTTAAGGAAAAGAAATATAAATAAATAGTAATAACTGTAATAAATAAATAAATTAATGAAATGCTATCTTCTGTGATGTCCTGATCAACGATTCAATCTAAAAAAAAATAATAATAAATAATACGATCGCAGACGTTTTGGCAAAAATTGGGTAAACTCGGCCTGCTAGGTCCGACGGTGAAGCCAGAGTATGGAGGTACCGGCGGTACGTATCTTGATCATGTAATTATCATGGAAGAAATTAGCAGAGCATCTGCCGCTATTGGACTTAGCTACGGCGCACATTCGAATCTTTGTGTTAATCAAATTCATCGCAATGGCACGGAGGAACAAAAACTCAAATATTTGCCGAAGCTGTGCAGCGGCGAACACATCGGCGCGTTGGCGATGTCAGAGTCTGGTGCTGGGTCCGACGTCGTTTCCATGAAATTGCGGGCCGAGAGAAAGGGGGATTACTATGTCCTCAATGGCAGCAAGTTTTGGATCACCAATGCTCCGGACGCGGATACGCTAATCGTCTACGCGAAAACGGATCCGAATGCGGACAAACCGCAGCATGGTATCACCGCTTTCATCATCGAACGTGACATAGAGGGTATCAGTACAGGACCGAAGCTGGACAAGCTTGGTATACGCGGCTCCAATACGAGCGAACTGATTTTCGAGGATTGCAAAGTGCCGGGTAAGTCCGGCGCTCGAATAAAAAATACGGAAAAGATATATAGAGATTGTTACAATTTAACATGTTCAAATATTATAGAAAAGAGTAAGAACTTTAAGATATTCTACTCATTGAAATTGATTATTGTCCTTTCCCTTTGTTTTTTAAAAATGTTGCTGATGTAAAAATTTTTCTAAGAAAGTTGTGAATTTCTGTTACAGCTGCGAATGTTTTGGGAGAAATTAACAGAGGTATTTATGTGCTTTTTAGTGGGCTTGATTTGGAACGGTTAATATTATCTGGCGGACCGTTGGGGTAAGCTCTTAGAAAACGAATGAATGTGAATGTATAACATAAAATTTGTGTGGTTTGATGATCAGTTTTCAATATTTCCTTATTTGTATATTTCTGGAGTTTGTACGTTAAAAAGAACTTCATAAAAATTATTGAATATATTTTTTGTGATCAGTGAAATGAAAATTATATTTTTTGAAAGTTTGCTATATAATAAATAGCGTATTATTGTATATACACATTTTTACATTTTGATGTGTATTATAGAATGACAGGCTTAGACACTTTGGTATTCAATATTTATTGTTATCAGATTATTAATAAAAAATCATTTAGACCTTATTTTATTTACAAAGCGTCTATATTTGGTTATGTGCAATCTGAAACATAAATTTTAGAATACTGCAAGCTTGTTGCGATGTTGCCTTTGAATACGCTCATACGAGAAAGCAATTTGGCCAGTATCTTGCGAAATTTCAATTGATGCAGGTAAAACAAAAATTACCTTGTCTGCTTAACTATTTTTCGCAATCTTCCATTGATAACGTTTAATCATATCGTTTCAGGCGAAGATAGCGGACATGTACACAGCTTTGAGCGCGAGCAGAAGCTACTTGTACTCTGTCGCTAGGTCCTGTGACGCTGGTCATATAAATCGCAAAAACTGCGCCGCCGTGCTCCTATTTTCCGCCGAGAATGCAATGAAAGCGGCATCGGATGCTATACAGATACTCGGTAAGACAATTTTTAAAAAATGAACAGTATAAATAAATTATATTAGAAGAAAACGTGTAAAGGACATGAAAATTTGGTATAAAAAGTAGATGTTTAGTAATATTTAATGAGAATGACAGTCGCGCTTTTTTTAATTTACAGGTGGCAATGGTTATATTAATGATTATGTTACTGGAAGACTACTGAGAGATGCAAAGCTCTATGAGATCGGCGCGGGCACCAATGAAATACGACGTATAGTAATTAGCCGAGCGATCACTGAGGAATATTTATGAAATGAGTTTTTCTTAGTCTAGATTTGATGACTGTGTGGGAAAAATAATTTTATTGAAGTATCTAAAAACTTAGATACAAATCCGAAAATAATTTTGTTGGGCAATGCTTTTGAAGCTTTAATCATTTTCTTTTCAGAGGTGCCAAAAGATTTTTTGCGAGCTATCGCTGTATCGTGATTTATTGTTAATGCTAATGTCAATGTTTCATCAACTTGGTGTCGTTTACGTTATCAGGAATTCTACAGCGTGCTGAGTTGCTCCTCCAAAACACTCCCTTTGTATAAAATAAATTTTGGACCATTAAAATGTTTACGTAGGAAACTCAATAATTAAGCAATGCTGAAAAAAGTTTTGACATTCAACAGTTTGAACATCCTATATAATTATTTTAATAATCTGACAAAATTATTTTCAGATCTATATCTAGCTAAATTTTTAGATACTTCAAGATCTTTCTATGTACGATCATGCGTAACGTAACATGCATTTGTAAACTTGAATTGATGACTAGCAGTTAAAAAGACAACTATAACGTCATATTATAATTGCTATCGTATTTCAGTGGTTGATGATGAATTATTCACACAATTGTTCATTAATATGTGTTACCAATGTATTTTTCTTATAGTTTTATACTTTTTTACAATATATGATTTACTTTTGTAAAATTTTAAATCTTTATTGTATTTGGTAGGAGAGTAGGCGAGAGGTTTTATATATCAATTATATTTTAATATATGTCATATGATAAAAAAATATGCTATTATCAATTCCACACGAAATCGCGGATGTACTAAACTGATTCTGGCGATCGAATCTTTTTCTTTTTTTTTTTTAAGTTTGTCTGCAATACGTAATTAAATGATGATTCATTATCGTCGACCGCCAATGTTGAACATATCGCATATTGGCGATATGCGTTAATGATTGTATAAATTAAGGTAAAGTGAGTCACTAGAACGATTGACTAACCTTTCGCGCTATAGGTTGCTAATTTAAGTCGTACACGCATCCTTTCTCCTTCTGTCTCATTATTTCACTCTCTTTCTTTCTCTCTTGTCTCTGGTTCTCTAGTCTCTGTTAATTACAGTGCAGCCAAACTAATTGCATCGAATCGGCCCGCATAGGGGAGAAGTTTCTCGCCGCTCGTGAACGTATTCGCACGGCGGAAGAAGCGTGTGAGTGTCTTATTTAGACGGGGGAAAACGCGATCAGAATCAAATCTTCGAGGATGGCTCTCAAATTCTCCATAGGCCACTTTTACGAGACCTATGTAAGTACGAAGGGTATGCAATCTAGAAAAATCTTTTCCATTTTCTCCCTAATTTATACTCCAATCATCTGACTATCGAAATTATCGATTTCTAATGGCAGATTTTTTTTTAATGAAGTCTTATAGATAGCAATCATGTAATCTTTTCCTAGAGCGAAAATATGAAAAGTGAACATTTATCCATTACCTTTAAAGAAAATTTTCACTTTTCACGTTTCCGCCTTAGGAAAAAATTACATGATCGCTATACTTTAGTCATTCTTTGTTTTGCGGAAAATCCAATCGTAGGTTTGACTAAAGCTACATTAAAGTTTTATTTTAAATTAAAGTAAATATAATTTACCACTTTATTGATTAAATAAATGGCTTAAAATAGTGGTGGCAATTAAAAAAAATATTTGCAAATAAGGTGATTTCGATAATTTGAACTTTGAGAGTACGAATAAGATATACGATATCTGAATATCTAGTTCTTTGTTAATTACAAATAGTTAATTGCAACTTCTTGTTTTAAATAAATTAATAAATGAATAATCTTTTCTGAAACTCGACATCGAATGTGTGAATAAAAAAGCTGTCGTGTAGATATGTGGCGCGTCAAAATTTTATTTGTCAACTTCCATCATGAATACTAAGCCATATATATAGGTATGACTGTCCCACTTACAATAGATTGCTTATGAAACATGTGTCGAACACGTTTCGAACTAAGTAAGTTAATAAAGTTGCGTTTTGCATGAGAGTTATTACAAAAATTATTTCTATATTTTTGTTCTGTCCGTTCCTATCCTTTTCTCGATATTCGCTGCGTTTATCGCATATCAAACATAAAATCCGTATAAAATCTTACTACTTTACATTATGGCATTTTACTGTATATCATTAATAATTTCTGCAAATTATTTGTAGAATATGATAAATAATTTCGTGTAATGTTGCAGAATTAAAACTACATTTGATCCGAAGTTTTTTGGGGCAGGTGATGTCCAGAATTATTAGATGGTGTTGTATTTTAAACTCGTGTAGATATCTTTGATTTAAATTTTAGATTATAGTTTTGCCGCTTATTGATTTTGTTTCGTTTTTATTAAATTGAATTGCCATGTCAAAAGTAATTATTTTAAGTACTGATTTAAGAGAGCTCTGTCAGAAGAATTCATGATTGTTTTAATTAAAAAGCGGTATTAAGAAATAATGGTTATTAGAAATATTCTTTTCCAACCGCGCATACTGATGTGTTTTGCTGAAATAACTATAATTATTTAAAATAATTATTTTTTTCTTTAGAGATCAATAAGTTTGTTTTAAATTACGTGACAATTCAAATAACAAGAGATAAGTTTTTAATTGTAGAATTCTCTCGTCTTTTCTTTAGTATGTCTATCATCTTCAAGGATTTCTCTCGTGGTAGTTCGTATTTATTCTACGCTGATAGTTCACGATTTTCTCTCTCAATGCGAGACTGTAGAACATTTTTGCACGTACACACGCATACACATGGTAAATACCAGAGAAACGAGTGCGGGTCGGACCATCAGAACAATACGCCAACTCGAAATGGGGCCAGAATAGCGAAGAAAGAAACAGAGAGACCAGAGGCGGTGATCTCTCCGTTAGAATTGAGCAACTAAAGTTCTCTCCTTCTCTCTAGCTTTCTCGCTTTCCGCTCAGGGCTCTGTCAAAGTCGGCATATAGTCGGCAAGTGCTACAGCTGCAGCTGCTATCTCAGTAGCGAAGCAGAGAGCGATCACGATCCGGGAGATCCATCGCTCGCGACTGTTCGCGGGAGGTCTTCCCTTCTTCTTAGACAGTCTTCCTTTTTCTTTTTTCTTCTTGGAACTTAATCTCTTTTTATCTCTTTTTGCCTCTCTCTCTCTCTCTCTCTCATTGTTTTGCCTACGTAGTGTATCTCGCAATTGATTAAGTGCTTGTGTCGTGGCTATTTGTTGTGTTATTGTTGGTGGTGGTGCTAATTGAACTGAGTCTAGAGTATGACCAGGAGGCATACATTGATTGTGAAACTTAAGAGATCCAGCACCGGTAGACCATGGGGCATAAGGATCGCCGGAGGCGCAGATCTGGGCACGCCGATTGTTGTCACCCGCGTGAGTCGGCTTCTTCTCGTTTTAATTTCCGCCCGATCTCTTTCACCTCACATCTTTAATTAATTTTTGAATTAAATTGTATTAGAATTCTTCTAATGAGGTTTCAAATTAATTGCGTGATATTAAATTTAAATTTATTCTGAAGTTTTATGGTCTTTTGAAAGAAGAAATGACACAAACAATAATGAAAATACGACGAATATGAAGAAAAATATACTGGAAAACAGAAATAATAATTTTTGAATGTTTCAAATAGAAAGTAATAAAAGTAAATTTTAGGGCAAGTTAATCAATTAATAACATTCAAAAGAAACTATAAGTAAAAGAATTGTGTCTATATACATATGTAAGGGAAATTATATGTATGTCAAAAATTATAATATTACCTCATGTTTATGATTTACTTGTCATACTAATAATATTCATTGATGACATAAAGTTCTAAGTTAGATTTTTATGTTTCTAATTGTAAAAGCTACCTAATAACCAATAAATCTTCAAATAATGTATTTCGAAAAGAAAATGTACAAATCCCTTTCTTTACGGCATTTGATAACGGATTTTGTTATCTCCGGGCAATGATTTTTATCCGGGAGGAACAAGATATTTCTCTTATTATGGAGACTTTATTACGGTGTCCGCTTATTTGGCTTCGATATGATTTCGCCGCGGCGGAACAATAGAAGTAGACGTAACGCAATCCCTCTGTGAACATTTGAAATGGAGAAGGCTGCCAAGGAATTCTCAAATCAACGATTCGATCTAGCGCCCGTTGACATTGATACACGATACGGCGCGTTGCATCCCGGAGCTCGAGCCTAGACACGGTCCAACGAAATAACAAAAGCGTTTTCTCGTTAGCGCCTAAAATCGTACAAGTCTAAAATTGATGAAATTGTATTGTAATCTTCATGTTTTTGTTTTATCTTAAAATAAACTGACCAATAATTCAAATAATATTTATTACAATATCAAATACTTCTGTATTGTGTTTTCTAATTATATTCCGTAATTTATCTCATTCTATATAACATTTTGGCAATTTTTTTTACGATCGTTTTTTATACATTAATATTTTTTAATTTTTGAAAACGCATCTACCATCAAATTATAACGACAAATAAAAAGATGATTGTTAATTTTTAACTGTTTAGACAATACGTTTTAAAATTTCAAAAGAAATAAGTAAACTGTTAATCTTGTGAATCTATTTAAAATTATTTAAGTCAATATATGATTAAAAAGCTCTTTAAAAAATAAGAAAAAGAATTTTATCTAGGAAAAGGTCTCTAAATGAAATATTGGTAAAAAAAAATTAATTAGACAAGCAGAATTAAGGAACAGATTTTTTTACTTTTTTGTCACGTATTTTAGATGATACACATTACTTCTAATTGTTTCTTGAAAACATTAATTGAAACCAAAGTAAATATGATAATGAAATCGGCCGATGACGGTCAAGCAGGATTTTGGTTGCTAAATATGATACGTAATGTGTGAATTTTATTTACCACGTATGTGGTTCCTAATCGCCTAATTAATTGAAACGTTAGAGCAATGACAATGATTACTGCTAACAACGCCGGGTCGATATGATCTGCTTGCAGTCGGAGAACGAGGCGCTCCAGAAGGGTGACATGATCAAGAAAATTGACGATTACGACGCGCGTGATGTGAGGCATGTAGATGCACAGAATCTCCTCCAAAACTCCGATACCATAAAGCTAGTTATCGAAAGGTCTGAGCCATCGAGAGTATCATCACGTACAACCACCGACACTACTATCACCACGTCACCATCATCACCCACGATTTTCAGGCCGATCGTTGGCAACGGGGCTGCGGCCACTAGTCTGTCAGAATGCAATATTATTTCTATTATACGCGTTTTTTTTTTTCGCAATACTGCCACAGCAATGACACCGCGTTTGCCACCGCAATATCGCAGCACGCCACTGATTAATTCGCCTGCTCGATTAAACCAGTTTCTCTCTTCGCACAAAGCACGACTGACATTTTTGGCCGCTGCTTTGGAACTTCTACCACTTACTTTTGCACCTCGACGATCATCTTTAACCGATAAAGGAGACTTCAATTTACGTTTAAAAAATGTTTAGTTTGTAAAAAATGTTGAAACGGTTTTTGTGATGTATAAAAATATTAAATAGACGTTATTAACATTAAATATAGTCAAAATGTCTGAGTTAAATCAAAATTAAAATTAATCTCTATTGGTAGAAATTAACGGGCACTAAACTATAGTAAGAAAAAGATATTTAATAGATGTTATAAGCACATACATTTTTTACACATATTTTTATAACGTTTATTAAATAGATAAAGCGTAAAATTTTAAACGTTTATTTTTCAGTTTACACATTTATTGTACGATTTTTAACATTTATTAAACATATTTTGAACGTAACTATGTTGTTCTCTCGAACATGCAAAGCTGATCTTTTCCGAGTTAAAGTTAAGAATTAATTTTTACAGTTAATTCTGTACAATCAATACATTCTACTTTAATGTTTATCCTGCACGGTCAGAATCTTTTTTTGTTCTTCGCAAAATCGCAGTTAATCGGTCTATTTTTAATGTGATATTTTTAATGTAAAAGGTGATCGTCAAGGAACTACCACGAAGCTGCTTGTGTTCTGCCGCTGCTGCGACACATATATGCGATCTACTATCATATTAATGTCTTTTGCATTTCTTTCATGCAGATACAAACAACCGAAAGAGTATCCGCAAGAATTACCGAAGAGCCCAATTCGGCCGCCTTCGGTCGAGGAGTATAGGTCAACGCCAACTCCGGAATACTCTGTTCGCAGTACGATCATTATGCCTCATGAACACCTCGACGAAATTCGCGAGGAAAGAGTTCATCTGTCGCAGGTATTTTAAATTATTTTCTACGTATTATTTTTGTCTAACAAAAGGACTTAAACAAAAAGACTTAAAAAATTTGTTTAATCTAAAAATAGTTAAGTATATAAAGACTATAATAAGTAATTCAAAGTAATGAAATGTATAAATAAATTATACTAGAAATAAGAGAAATAAATTATGTCGAAATTCTCAATTCTATCTTACAAAGAATTGATTTGTAGGATAATCCTTTCTTTGTTAGAAATAAACTTTATTAAGTCGATGATAAGAGCATTTTGCGTTTTTTCAAGTAAAATCTTGGTTGTGTTTAAAGCCAGTCGATCTTGTTTAACTATCTGTTGGATTGTTTAAATCCAGCGATAAAATTGGTACAATGGTTCTTAAGATCTTTGAAAATCGAACTTCAAGCACATGTTGGCGATACAAAATCGCTGGAGAGTTCATTGATCCGCGTGAAGGAACAGGCTTTGTTTTAGTGTATAAATCAAGGTTCAACATCGTATTTACTTCTTTCCCGGATTAAAATAGCCTACATAGTGAAACAGCGTGGCCACGTCGTTGAAAAATATTTCTCTTGTGCCAATCTTAACGTTAATATATTCTTAATGTGTTAATTTTAATGTAATCTGAATACGCAGTGAAATGCATACATAAATAACAAGGCTTAAGTAACAAATATTAAAATGTATTTTAAAATATAAGACATAATTATACTTAGGAATAGAAAGTTTTTGTCATATCGCGCGAAAGCTCAAAGTAAAATTTTTTATTTAATCATAATTGATAATTGAAAAAAGAAAGAATTGTTACATAGGATTCGGCAAAACGTAATTGACAGCTTCGTGTGAAATTATGCAAGCGAAAGCTAAAAGTATAGATACGAAATACGCAGATCCGAAACCATCTCGTCGTCTCATAACTCCTTGCTTATCACATAAATGTCGTTTTATTTATTTTTCAAAAGTTTTCTGGGATTTTCTCTGTAACGAACGACTGAAACATAGCAAAAATTGTATAAATCATAGAATTGCTCTTACATTTGAAAGTATCTTTCATCTTTTCTTAAATATTTGAAAAGCGCGAAGATATTAGAATAGCTTAGTTCTACAGGATTCATTGAATGGAGGGAACGAAAGAATCGTAATTCGAATTAAACGTTCGATTTGCTCGTAATACGAGCCGTTTAAGGAAGAATAAATTGAAGTACATCGTAAAATAAGTAGACACGATTGTCAGAGGCACGCGATCACCGTAATAAGAGGCAGTCCGAACTCTGATTTCTCGAGTCTGTACGATCGTGGCGTCTGGCAAGCTCAAGCTCGTTCCGAAATATCCTTCTGTACTTTGAAATCCAATAACTCATTGCCGGATCAAGCTACGGCTGTAGTATGACAGGACATTTGTCGCGTTTAATCCGTCTCCCACTCGTTTCGAAACGGCATGCTTCAGGTGACGAAATTTTGGCCTGTCGTTAGCATCATCGTGGTAATCAATAATGGAATCGATGACAGAATTGAGTACATGTGACGGCTTTCATAAAAATTTTGCAAGAGGTCTGATAAATAGGCAATTTCGATTAAAATTGATTCAATTAATAATCACATAGATGTGCATCAATTTGATTGATGCGAACTGCCAAGGTTTTGGAAAAATGTTAAAATTTTGCGATTTTAACAACAACGGGATAATGATTTGCGATATCGCGATTTCACGTCTAGATGTCTCCCGTCGTTTAACGAAACGTTTTAACCGATTTTGCGAGAACGATACCGACGAGAAAGAGAGAGAAATAAAAATAGAGAGAGAAAGAGAGAAAGAGAGAAGCGCGTCATCACGTTTATTACAACGACATATCGTGTACATCGCGGTATTGGGGTGCATCGTGCATCGCTACGAAGTGACGGAGTGCTTTTATTCGTGGGAAGTCCGAAGTGTGAATATATTTTTGTTGGCCCGCCACGATGCCGGAAAGTCCGTCGCCACCAGTAGAGCCGGTTGCCACACGCTATAAATATCACTTTTGCATCGAAACCACCTCTGCTTGTCCCGATCTGATACAATCCCGCAGATTCAGGACTTTCGCCTTCCACATTTTCCGCACGGTGGAGTTTATTTTTCTTTTGCGACCCCAATAAATGAGAACTTTATAGAGAAGCAAATCTTTCTCTGACGTATTAAAAAAATTTAAATTGAAAATAACGCACGAACTTTTTAAAATGTTACTAATGACATTAGACATCTTTAATTACGAAAAAAAAAATGCGGTATTTCAATCATTTTGTATATGGCGTCGTTAAATAGATAGGATAAATAAAAGATTTATCGAGATCACATTTTAGCGATCGAAATTTATCCTTTCGAATAACTCTCTCATTAATTTCATCGCGGAATTTCGTTGTCAAAGAAAATTTCTTCGATTATTTCAAGGCAACAATTAGCTTGTAAGTAATTTTAGAAGCTAAGAATAAGAAAAAAATATTAATTATAATAATTTTATTTAAAATGAAAATCCGGGGAATTTTGAAAGTATTTTTAGAAAGGTAGATATATTTCAAAAGATAAATTTAAAAAGAATGTACACTCACCCCAGCTAAAAGCTTACAACATTTTTTATCGATTTGAAAACTCAATCTTGCTCGTAAAGTGGTTGAATGTAAATGGTTAGATCTTTAAAAGTAAGAACTAATGGCTCGACGAGCAGATTGTATTTTAAAACCTATCGAAAAAAAATCTTGCAACCTTTTAAAGTTTTAACTTGAAAAGATTGCATTTTAGATGATAAAAATGTATAAGTTATAAACAATTCTCCCCAGAATGTATAACAAAAAAATTAATAAAATTGTCTTAAGCATTAAAATAATTAATTGGAGCTAATTGAAGGATAATTAGCAAAAGTGTATCTTTGACCTAAAAACCTGACATATCTTTATTTATAAATCTATAGTCCCATTTCTTAAAGTCAGGTGATAATCTGATTACGGTCACTGCGTCTGAGATTACCGAAGAACATTCGACTCGTGACGTTTTTCCGGCGTCAAGAGCTTTTACGAAAGCGAACGAGTTTCGAGAGAGGTCTCCGGAGAGAAAGAGAGAGGAGTCTCGTGGAAAAGGCCAGAGTTAGTGCCGCCCGCGCTCGCGTCGAGCCAGTAGTGCTTAAGCGCGAATAATCCCGCGATAGTCGCGAACGAGGGACGACGTGAGAACGAGAACGATTGCGAGAGCCGCGAAAGGGTTGCCGCGCGCGAAAGGGGTGACATAAGGTCGGTGGTTGCGAGGGAAACTCTCTCCGCGGGACGCCTCTCGAACGGAGACGAGAAGATGCCCGCTTACACGACCGTCTATCGTTACAACATCGAGCATCATCCGAAGGAGGAGGAAGCGGCCGTTTACTGGGTACGAAAGAGACGAGAAGTTTCATCGGTTTCACTTAATTACTCATTAAAGGAGAAAGAATCTCAGAGACGAAAAACGCGAAGCGATTCTCCTCTTCGCCCTTGAACGTGCACCTTTCTCGAGGCTAAGATGTGCTTGCGGATCTCGCGCGCGAGTAATGATCTATACATTGTCGAAAAATACGTTAACGCAAAATTTTTATTCTTATTTTTTCAAAAATTTTTTTCTAGTCTAAACGAATAATTTTAGATTAGAAATAGTGCAAGTCACGTGCATTTTAGGGTGGAATCTGTATTCTTGAGATGTCAGACTTGTTGAATAATTGGACGTTAAATAAGATAAATTCTGAGAGATGTTTCTATTCAAGAGAAATTTTTGTTCTCTCTTGATATAAAAACATGTCTTAAAGAGAGAATTTATCTTATTTAACGTCCAATTATCTTAAGTCTTGTTTAATTAATTAAATAATTATTTACATTATAAGAGTGAAACTATATATACATGAGAAGATTATATATTCAGTTATTTTTTAGTTAATTATACAAATAAGATTCAATAAACATAAATTAAAAGTATATGTTCATATATAAATAGATACATTTATTAATTAAATAAAAATTACATTCTTTTTGGCATTAAATAATTTTCTCTCATTCAAAACAATTTGTTCTTTTCATTTAAATGCTGCATTACACTTGTTAGAATGTTCTCACCCCGTTTTATAAATTTCGTTGTTTTTTGTCTGGATGACATTTATGCGTGGGTTTATTCACGACAAAATAAAACAACCATAAAGCTCGAACTTTACTAACGTCGCTGGACCACCCTAAAAATATCAAAATTCAGTAACGCAAGTTTTAGCTCCACCAACGCTTCATATCGATATCGAATAACGACACGAGCAATAAGATCGCCAGACGATCTAGATTTCGCGTTATTCAACCTTGACACAGTACACAAACGTGTCCACAGAACAATTGTGCCATTCGTAATGGAACTTGATGAATTTCGCTTATCCCGCCCCCGAAGAAGGGCAGGCCGATTTCGGAGTTAATCGGAGCCACCGAGATGAAAGGCAGACTTGCGCGGGCGTTAATAACACGCTATGCAATAAAACGCACGTAGGCATCGCCATTACGGATGCCGTTCATCGGTATCGTGTTCTATTTTCGTAAACGGGATCTGGGTTACTCACGAATACGCAAGAGAAGTCGTCATACAAAGACACACCCATGGTTCGCGATTTTCGAACTCACCTCCCGTCCGAAAAATTCAGAGATTTTTTTAAAAAGCAACGTTTTTAATACGACGATTAATTATTTTATTAACGACTTTCAGAATTAGTAATAATTTTTTTAATTTTATTTTTTGTGAATAATATTTAAATGGAAATATATGATTTTTATAATCATATATGACATACGAAACGATAACATTTATTCTGTATCATGATAGAAAAATTTTTATTGTTATTTCTTTTTAGTTAGAATGTAGGAGTTCAATGAGACATTTAAACTTGATTAAAAATCTGAGAAATATAAAAAATAAAAATTACTGTGTCTTTATATATTAAATATACTCAATAATTTTAATTATTTTAATCAATTTATTTATTGTTAATTTGATAATATAATTTTTAAAAATCAAAAAACGATATTGGTAATTACGGACAATTTTGACATTAACTATATCAGAAATGAAGCAAATCCGAATTTACTCGTATGATAAAATTAAATATTGTTTTAATTATAATTTTATATATTTTAATATGTGTTAATGAAGTTGAAACATCTGTTCGTTAACGTGCCTCTTGCCAACGTGCTCCAATCAGTTTCCAAAGAGTTCAAGTTTCACCTCGACGCCAAGCAATAAACACTTCGTGAAACAGCTGTTTTGCTCCGTCTGAATTTAGTTTGGAAGACCTTTTACAAAACGACGTATAAACGTGCGCACGCTAGCGTAAATTTTCTAAAAAAAAAAAGAAAAAAACACAAGTAAATTCGCAAAACAAAAATTTCGTTAATTAAATCAATTAACCGAACTCTCTCCATTTTCAAATAATCATTATACACTTTACCGCTTTTAAGAGACAATCAGTCCTTCTCCTTAAAATATTAAACTTCATACAAATAAAAACTTTGTTTCTCTCTTATTTCATTTTTCAAATTTAAACAAATGAAATCAAAAGTAATAAAAATTAAAAATAAAGAAATACACATTTCTTGCGTTTAATTGATTAACGATTTCAAGTCTTTGAAGTTTAAAAAGCATGGTAAAAATTTTTTGTAATATTTTGAGATAAAATCAGTTTCGTGTCAAAATTTATCAAATACTTCTATTTCAAATATTGTACATTGAGATATTTGTTATCAATGATATAAAGTAGAAGTGGGATGCTCTTTGGGCTTTAGACAGCTTTGCATCCAACTTTTATTCCTCCCTTCTCATTATTTAATTATCGTGCGACCTTGCCAACGTTTCCCGTCCAAGAACGAAGCGGGCGGAACGTTTCCTGGTGAAAAAGTCACAGGCGGAAAGAAACGGACAAGAGAAGTGCGAGGGGATAGGTGGTTTTTGTGGCTCAGGGTGCGCGTTATTTTTGCCGGCCGGGAGCCTTCATCTATTTCGAGAATCACTCGCCGCTCACCCTCTAACATAATGGAACATTTCTGACCCATTTATAATGGAATCATCGTAATCGTATGATTTCATATCGCGAAACTCGCACGCGAACTTGCAACCGCGATCGCGATTCTAAAATTGTGGAATGTGCACATTGGCTGCGTTCAGCAGAAAAAGCATAGCTATTGTTTTCTATAAAATTTTTTAATACTACTACTCTTGCCCTTATAGTTCCTTACTAGATTTAAATATACAAACTAATCCATATTAAAAATATCTTACAACAGTTAAATACAAAGTTACTTTTTCTGCTAAATGCAGTCAATACCGATGAATAATGGAAGCATAAATGAACCTTTTTGAAGAAATCGAACAAATTATACGAAAAATTTTGCATTTTTATTTATATTTAAATATATTTGAATATATTATTTTATCTATTAAGCCGCAGTATTTGTTAAAGTTCGTTATTATTATCTTCAATTGTCCAAGTGACAACTAATTTTTAATTAATCATTGTAAAGATAATCATATTTTTTATAATTATATACACTTCTTATCTTATTACATTTTTATATCTTCATCAAGTAACTCGGGTAGACACACTGTCATAATAAAATCATAATGATATTATAAGATGTCATCATAACGTTATTCGATGTTAAAAAAAATAAATTTATAGATACGTAACAAATAAGGTCATGATGATATCCTTATGATATTATGACTTCTGTATTCTACTTCAAAAAAGATTAATTTAACAAATAAAAAAAAATGAGAAAAATTTTATATAATAGATACGTGATATTAATACGTCTGTGGTATTTTTTCATTGTACTTTGAAGCTCAAAATGTAATAATGTGAAAACTAATAAAATCGTTGCTGATGAATATTGTTCATAAATCTCAAGCTGTTCTTGAAAAGCGATTAAACGTAACCTTTACTCAGAGTAAAATGAGAAATTGCTTTCCGAGAAAATATTACGGAAAACTTTATTTATGACTCTCTCCAAAGGTCGCGATAATAATGCCTAGTATTTCGAAATTTTCATTCCGGCTTGCGAATATCCGCGACAGAATATTACGAGACTTGCCTGAGGTCTCACTTCGCGTTTGTTTTCATGGATGTTTCAGCAACTCGTACTGTAAACATAGAAGACCCGCGTGGCGAATCGACGATGTACGATGCACCTGCAAATTGTGTAATTTCGTAACATCGCGCAAAAACGGCGGCACGTGACAGAACGACTCGTAACTTGGCAAGTCGAATTCGTTCGTAATGCTACAAGGATGACCGTGGATTTGATGTAATTTTCTCATTGTGAGCCAGCTGTGCGAAATATTTACTTCTTCAGAAACGGTCAAATAATATCACTTCCGGTTCGCAACGTCATTAACCAAAAATATTCGGCCTATTGAAATATTATTTATATCACGAAAGTAGAGAAAATATAGAATACCTATAATAAAATTATTTATTTTAATTTAAGAGAGAATTGAAATATATTCATTATTTCGCTTCTTAAATGGTTTAGTTTGTAATAAAACAATTTGCATGGAAAAATAAAAAAATAGATATTCGCAAAAGGAAGATTTTAGCTGTCACAATGTGTTATCTGGTCGTTAATTATATTTTAAGATGTCTTTTAAAGAGATATAAATCCGCTATCAATTGATACATTGTTTTGTTATGACTCTCGATACTTTTTTTTAACTTGCATTTCACCTCGTCAATGTTATGGAATGGGATTACTGTCAAATTAGGCTGCGATATCATCATTATTATTTATTCTTGTCGTTGCTTGGAATTATGGCGATGTAAGAAGTGTCAGAAATTAATGAGCCACCTTTCGATCACCATGGCCTCTATTGCAGTTTATTTTAGATCTCGTTAGTTAATTGGCACCGCTTCGACAGGATATTATTTCATCTGCCCTATTAACCATTACTTGCATAGTTACCATCATTATCGTTAATGATATAATTTATATACAATAAGATGTCGTATGTTAATATATAAATAAGATATTATATAAATAATGTGTTATATTATTTATATTTATGACGATATATCTAGAAGGGTTTAGGAGGTTCAAAGTTTTTTTCCCCGAAAAATTTTATATATGCATATTTTCATTTTTGATTATAAAAAATACACCTCTCTTTACTCTGAATGATTTTTTTGTTGTGATATAAAATATTTCTTTTCTCTCATTACGATCATGTAAGTAATTTTTGAAACTTTTTTTAGTCAAAGCTTTGACAGAGTGTCTGACACATAAGAAAATTTTCGGAAGGTTTTTGAGGTTTTTGGTGCACTCAGATATTATACATGTATGAGATAAATAAGTTTCATCGTTTATACAACTACGCATTTTGTTTTTAATAACTGTACTTTGTTCATATTTTCTTCGCAGGAAAAAAATAAAAATTATAATTTACAATATCTAATATTTGTTCTATCCAAAGCAAGAACAAAAAAAAAGACATACGAAGCTTTAAAGTATCCAAAAAAAAAGCCACTTATTAATGCAACCAATGATGTCTAGGTGATAACAGAATTAATAATCCCTCCTCCAAAAAAAATTCTTGATACGCCTATGAATATTTATAATATATATACATACAATACAAAATAATAAAATATAATACCGATACTGATAGAGCTACAATTGTGATATCTTTTAGCCCTACCGTACGACTCCTTTGGTCTTGCCAGGTGCCAAGGTCAAGAAGGATGCTCCTCTCGGTGAATGCTACCTGCGACATCATCCGAATCCGATGATCAGGGCGGCACCCCATCATTACGAGCCCGCTCATCCTGAAGTTGCTATGAAGCAAAAGGTAAATCGACATTATAAGATCATCCACATCAAACTCCTGTGACACGTACTTGCGAATAAGTTCTCCTACATCTTTGGAGACGTATTTGTCAAGTCAGGATTTAAATTGTATTTTATTTGTACATCGTCTGAGCAGGTGGCAGAAACAGTACTACAGCGTGTCGTGGGACCGAATGAAGTTCCAAAGGTTTGGATCACTTCCGTTGTTTACTTTCGTAAGCCGCTTCTGCTTCGAGAAACGAACGCTTACGCACTTTCTGGACGATCGATATATCTGCAAGAAACTTGAGTTTGATCGTTTGACGAGATATCTCAACTATTACGATATTTTTCGCTAATAACTAATAATAATTATAATCGCGATGTGTTGACGCGATTATTATATACAGGATTAATATACAGGATGTCCTCTGGATCTATTTGTAATTTAATTGATAATCCAAAAAATAATACCAAAACGCATCGATTACACTGTGAATCGATATACAGCTTGCATCAGCTCCTATTTATGATTAAATCACTGAAATTAATTGAATTGAATTACTTTAATAATTAAATCCAATTTAATTTACACGATGTGATATAAATTAACTCGATTACCAAAAATTCTGATTTTGAATAACATTAATTTACCGGAAAAAAAAAAATTGCTTTAATTATTGATTGCCACTAACGTGTTTCGAAACATGAAAATTCCGAAGATACGAGATGTAACGAAACTGTGAATATAGTGACGATTACATTATGACATTTTGTAACGGCAGTGCTTTGTAAAATAAACATCGCGTGAGTCAGGCCCGTTTGTATGTAATACTGTGAATTTCTGACATAACGGAAACTTGGCATTACTCAAACATTTGTCCTGTCCGCAGTGCCAGCAGACTAGAGTTATGTTTATTTTTTACAACGCTGTATTTTCATAATACCGTAGTCGCAACACGACTTGAGAATAGATCGCAACAATAATACGCAACATCTCTAGTAAACATTCATAATAATAATACGTTAATATACATATACAATAGATTCTGCTTATATTGCACAAAAGTTTCCAAACATCCATGTGCTGGCATATTCAGTATTATTTTTCAAACGTTTTATATATGTCTTTCAAATAAAAGTTGAAATAGAAAAAGAAACACGAAAATAATCTCTTTTGCGCTTCTGCTTACAAAACTGTCATTTTTGGTCGTGTTGTTTCCAAATCATGAGAGCTGTTTCGAGTTTTATGCGATATATGTATACGTAAATGCTGTGTTACGTCGATCGTAAACGTCAAATTCTGTCTTTTTAGATTGTCCACAAGCAATTCAACTCGCCGATCGGACTTTACTCGGATCAAAACATCGCAGACACTATCAAATGCCAGGCATCCGCCATACCGTAAGTAGTCAATCTACTCACACGAGTGTCTACTAAGTTCTCTCTCAACTAGTCTTTAATCACACTGAACATATTTAAGCATATACATATATAACGAATCGCTAATGCCGTGATGCTTGCAGCAGTCACAGATTAATATAATTAATACAAAATTGGTTTCATCGCTGAATGCCGCTCACACTCTCATAAATCGCCATCATGTAATAAAAATCGTGTGCGAGAAAGTCTAATTGTCACGTTAATTGAAATTAACAAGTTAATTCGCACAGTTGATAATCGCAGTGGAAGACAATAATGTGAAAGTGATAGTTGGAGTGAATTCAAAGAACTCGACACGAATTTATTCTGGGAAATAAAATGAATTTTTTATTAATCTCTGTATTAATCCTCAAACTTATTTTGTATAGACGTGTTTTTTAATCAAACGTCCACGAAGCGTTAATGATTTACGCCAAAATAATTTTCTGAGACTTGTTTTTAGAAAATAACGGAACGCGAATGAGAAAAAAAAATTATCCTTTTGGAAGACGACGTTTCCATGAAGGCTGTAATTCGGGAAAAGAAATTACCAATTGGAGAAATATATAAATCGAGTTTACTCGGAGGACGCAGGATCGTTAAACGAGAAGGGATAACCGGCTCCTTCTCTCTTTTTTCCTATACGGCTCTCTCAGATCCTTCTGATGATTCATTACTTACGTAGCGGTTTGTTTGTTTTCCAGCATTTTCATAGATTTTTCCTTCGTGAAACAGAAACAGGAAATACAGGAGCAAGCGAGAATCTTGAAAGAGCAGGCGAAGGCCGCCGCTTCGAAGAATGTGTGGCCACAATTCAATAAACCAAATTAAAAATTGTCGAGAGACGTTCGAGACGTTTTCCGATGCTTCTCGTACGTCGGATCTACGACGGCAGAGTTTCCCGGTTTTCACGTGGATCATTGGGCACGTTCTCTTATTAAAATATAGCAAATTATGCATTCGTGTCTGTGGGGATTGTTAAATTATTAACAAAATGTTGTAATACATAGAGTTTAATGAGAAAACATTTTAAATAACAAATACGAAAAATTGAGATTGTTGAAAATATTAAATTAAGAAATAATTATCACAAGTCAACAGAAATATTTTGGGTATTCATTTAGTTAACAATTTAATCATTCGCGCGATGCTGTCATTAAAATGAACACTCACAATTGAATTATTCAAACGCAAAGAAAGTCTTTCTTATTGTTATCGATATTTTCACTTAATATGAATAATTAATTTAAATGATTAATTTAATTGCCGATAGAATTTAACATAGCGAACGTGGCCACTGAGTGTACAAGTCCCTCGAAATGATTGTGCGATTATTATTTCGGGTTAGTTTGCCGTTCATATTACGTATATTACATAGTAGAAATCGTAGGCATAAACTATTTGACAAAATTATAAATTTCGTAATGTTTCCGCGAATCCGTGCAAAAAAAGCTTTTCCTTTAGCAGTAAATTCTTGCATGTAGCAGAGTAGTGAATAATGAATAATGTGAATACAGTAGTTGAGATTATGTGAGAATATCTACTAACTTCGTCGTTTTTTTTTTTTTTAACGAGTGTTCATATGCTTGTATCGTAGATACCGTGCACGAATAATTCGAGACGACTTTTGAAAATTGCGCCATTAGAAATCTATTTTTGTCGCATTTTTTTGGAATGACGAGCAGAAAATTTATGGGAAGAAAAATAATTTGAAAATTATATTTGTAAAAATAAAAAATATATTGAGAGCATCTTTTTTAAGACATTTTCCTCATTTTTTTTATCGCGACTAATGTACATATATGATTTAATTTATTTAATTTCTTTTTGTATCAATAAGAAACTTATTATCGTAGAGTTAAAACAGAATTTTTTGATATAATAAGAAATAAAATTATAAACATTTTTTGTTTTAAATTGAAGATCTTGGAAAGTGTTTTGGAAAGCTGCTAGTACCTTTTCTAAGATTTTTAATGATTTTTGCATCTACTCTTTTTCGAATATTTTTTTTTTCAAAAATGAAAGGCGCAATTTTTAAAGTGTCCGATGAACGCGTTCTTCTTGATCGGGCATGCACGCAGGGTTTGCACGATGAGGAATGACCGCTCTTTCTCGATTGAACTCGGCTGAAGGACGCGTCTGAAAGTCGCTCTCGAACAGACATGAGTAAATGTGCAAATGCAAATTGGCAAATTGTAACCCCGGCCGCTGCTAACCGATCTGGATAGAAAACACAAAATAAAAAGAAACAAGAAAGATAAAAGTCGCACGTGAGAGAGAACAAAAGAGAAATTAAAAGTCGTCCCCTGTGTACACATGCGGTACGTGCAGCCTGAAGAAACCGGTCAAGTACGATCCCAGCAAGAGCGAGGCGTACAAGGCCCTGCAAGAGGAGGAATACGGGGATCAGGTGCAGGAAGTCAGACAGCCGGCACGCACCGGTGTCTTCACGCCGCAGAAATCGAACAGGGTACATAAATTTTTTATTTAATAATTCCACGCTGTTTTCAAGGTCAATTTTTTTGTCTTAATAAATTTTTTTCTTTCTTGGTGAAAAAATTTTTCATATCTTGTAATATTTTCAAAACTTTTTCATATTTTAAAGTTATAAAAAGATTTCTGAAAGATATCTTCAGATTTTATTTTCTTTGGAATTATATAATGAAAAATTTCGGAATTACATACTAAACACTTTTAGGAAAATGTATTTTCTTCAAAAATGTTCCAATTCATGTAAAAACTCTTGTACAAAGTTATAAATTTATGTAGAAAAATTCTGAAAAAATCTAAAATTTATATAAAAATTACGAAAAATTATATGAAGAATTTGAAGAAAAATTTTCACCAGAATGAAATATGCGCTAAAAAAACTGCGTTTAACGATACTATTTATTACACAGGTGTACCACGCTCCGCCGAAGAGTCCTGCATACGTAAGTATCCGCATTATTCTCGATTAGATTCACGATCGATTTTGCGGGGCGCATAGTAGAAAATATTTTGCCGGGCTGAGATCACGCGGGAATGCATCTCTCACTCGCATGTCGCCGCATGGGTTCTGTGCAAGAATTTCAGAGCTGTCGCCCGCAGCTGCGTAGACGATTATATTCTCGATGCGAATTTGAGGATCTTCTCATCTCGCACAAAATCGGTCGGCCACATTTCTCACTTCACGGATCTGTAAAGAAGTGTCGAATTGTTGAAAAAATTTTTTAACGACTTCAACGAGAAAAATGTTGAGAATATTTCTTTCGTTGTTAAAATAGCAAACATCATTTTTCACGTTATTACTCAATTACGTGTCACTTTTTTTTACTTGCTCGCCATTTATTTATCGAGAAGATTTATCGATCACTGGCTCGGCACCGCGTACTCTATAAGTTACCCAACGCAGCCGGACGATAAAACGGCATCGGATTATATAAGCGACTTGGCACGATACACTATTTCTCTTGTACTTCTTTCTTTTTCGTCTACTGAAACACCGTGCCAAGTCATCTCTCGGTAATAATCGTCCGCCGCGTCGCGCCGACGGAATATTGCGCGGAGATTTTGACACTTCCTCCTTTAAGGATGTATCATGCGCATTTTTTAACAAAATGAAAAATTACATTTTTCTATTGTGTTTGAAAGTAACAAAAGACGTTTAGAGGCGATTTAAAACCTGAATCGAAAATTATTTTAATAGACATGTTTTACAAAATAATTAAAATAAAAAATGAGAAAATTTTTATTTAAACTAAAACGTTACTAAATATTGACCTTATTCAACTGTTTCATACGTATACAACATTAATTTTTAAGCTTTTATACAGAAAATTTATAAATATTATAAATTTTCCATTTGCCATTTTTTGCAGGCTATACATTTGATACATCCTTAAATTTACAAACATATTTCGTGTTAAATCGTTCGATTGTTTAACGACGATTACCTCATTAATACATCTAACATACATTATCGCTACCAACATTAATCATCATAATCGAAGACGTACGTCACCGATCTAATCTTCGGTATCTGTTTCATTAAGGGTGGATCATATAGACGTCCCTTCCCCCTCCCTTTCGTTAAGGATCTTATCAACGACTATTAAAATTTTCGCAGAAACTTGTACGTTTTCTGATACTTTTACATTAAATGCTCGCTTGCTTTCGCGTAGAGAAATTAATTTATAGGATAGATGCGCTCTCACTGCAATACTACCGGCTGTTTTCTACATAAAGCTCATTAAATTAATTTACTGTGAACACGCATGTCGCTTTGCGAGATAGAAAATACGCCTTAATAGAAATTAAAACATAGCTCATTTGTGGAGCACTTTGATAATTTGGAGACGTGGAGAGCGGTTGCGAATAATTCAATTTTCAGATAAACGTGCTCGATGATGACGGCGAGAAGATCCATCAGAGCAACAGCTTCAAGAGGATTATGTACAGTGTGCTGGGGCAGACCGAATTTTAAGCCGAACTGACGCTATAAATATATTACATCGTTTATTTATATTATAAATAAATCTATATATTTTATTTATTGTACTACGCAAAATAAAACGAGTGTCGAGCGTGTCCAGCTTAGGCAATTAAATTATGTTGCTGCATCAGCGAAGATCTAGGAGCGCGAATTTGACGAATTCTGCGTCTGTTTTTTTTTCCATCCCGAAGTTTCGAACTGGTATTTATTGATATGTAATAAATTAGAGTGAGACAGGTACAGTTTGTTTCACTCTCACTTATTGTATTAGTTTAGAATTCTTCGGGAGAGAACAGACCTTCTACTTGACATTCATTGCTTGCCCGATGAAACGCAGTGCCGTGTATCTCTTAAGCGTAGTAACAATACTTAGTTACTTTAATACGCGCCGTTAGTAGTACGTGATTTGCAACATTGCATTCTACTTGAGATTAATATTTTTCGCTGGCCTGCACCAAAATAGCTTACTCCTTTCTTTCCACATATCTTGATGTATCTATTTTTTGACATTCTATTTACACACTATATTATACTTTTAACATCACGCACAATGAAAAAAATTAATTTTCACAAAATACGTTGAGTTTTTTATCCTCCTTTCCTCTCTAATATTTCTATGTATGGAATTAATTTTTCTTCTCGCAAGATGTAAATACTTATTGTTAGATGAGTATCAATATATCACATCTTTAATGTCTCGAAAACAAAACAAAAAAATCAACATAATACGAGAAACAGCTACGTTTTCTTCCTAATATTTTTCATAAAACTAAAAGCGAAGAGGGCAAGATTAATCACGATACATAAGACGATGAGAGACAATTTAATTCATCAGTAATAATACACTACAATATCGGGTGTAATATCAGCGGTGTTTGCTAAATGAAAAATTTAAATGTCAGACATTATTTGTTTGACAGAAAGTTTTTTTTAAGCACATACATGTTCCGTGTATTATTGTTATAAATTACGCATATACCATATATATATGACGGATACAACGGATAGGAACAAGTAAAACAGTAGGTATTGTAGCTTTTGTTGAACTAACAATAATATCGTGCTAGATCAATAGAGATATCACATAACTATCATTTTGTAAAGCATTAGCAAGTAAAATAATAAGATCACTTTCTCGTCATCGACTGCTTTCCGACAATACAAAATAAATATTACAAGGTTCTCTTTTGATCAGCGCAAAGATCATGTAGCCATAGCGTCTCAAAATTTCTTCGTGCGTCCCCGTTTTCATCCAGATAGAAGAATATTAAATACTACGCACTCTCGCTACGCTACACACGCGGCCACGCGAGCCACGGTTTTTCAGCTAAATTATTATTAAAATTAATTTCTAAACGCTATTAGATATTACTAATTTGTCTTCCACTCTCAACATTTTTTACTGAGAGCTGCCTGCATCCGTCGACACTGTCCATGGAGTAGCACTAGGACCTCGGTCGTGACACGCATTGAAGTTCAAATAAAGATCAAAGATCCAAGTTCGATATGCTTCTGTTACTTACTGGTACTTAATGCTGTGTCAACACAACCGAAGCCAACCAGAGATACACAAATCTCGAAGAATTAGTGCTACATCACACTTCCTTTGCATCAAGAACGCGCTGTGTATTCCGCCAATCATTTAATTTTTTATAAAAATACAGCAACGATAAAAAGTTAAAGTGATTGGCTACAGTCTCATGGCACATAAATAAATTACTAGAGAAAAAAAAATTGGCCATATATACCACGTAACCTTTTGCCATAGACAGTCTCTTCGGCCCGAAGTGTACTACAGGACTATACGTTACTACACGTTAAAATGTACGCGCTGCGTAACATTGCATAAATTAATAATACTTTCCCTTTCTGTAAAATCTTATCGACTTCACAAAATTAATTTAGAATTAAAGTACGAACAGGCTGAAGTACAGAGAATAATGGACGCACAAATGTTTCACGTTTACGTAGATCAATGGACTAGCAAGTTTCTCTTTTATGTTTGTTTAAATAAATACATATATATCTACAAAATTGATATATACCTAAATTTCCAACAAACCCAATCACACGTATCAAGCATAAGTATCATTCAAGCCTATATGCGAAAATGCGCCGATTCAAGAGAAAAAAAAAAGCATAAAATTCGCATTCAAACATAGATAAAAGAATCAAATACTCATGTAGATGAGTAATTGATTGAGAGACAGCATGAGTTAAAAGATTATATAAATTAATAATCAATACTCAAATATATTAATTGAAAGTTATCACAGTTTAGCCTGTAAAACTGTGATAACTGTGTATACA